AGTGCCAGCAGCTGCTCAACCTGCACACCTGAACCACATCTACAATCACAGCAGTATAAAACCCCAGCGCAGACATCCAGACTCTGCCAGATCGCTTAGTCATCTCTGTGGTTCACCATGCCCGGCCTAATTCTCTTCTTTTGCTACTCGATTTGGACTGCTCCATCTTCTGTGCCTCTGCCTGCTTTCCCATGTTTTATCCAATTGCACAGGATGAACATCAGCACAGAAAAAATAACGTTTGAAGTGATAATACATAAAATAAATTTGGGGCAAACTTAAATGGATGTAATGTATGTAACATTTATGAAATTAATTAAACAACTGCAGTTTTTTGGGTGTGAACAAGTCAAGTTGTCCTATCTTGGACCTTTCTGGTAGGCCTGGTCCCATCTTGTTTTTGGTCACACTAGCTTGACACCCAATAAGGAAGCACTTTGATAACCTCTTCTACTTCCTGCCTGCGGGGTTGAACACACCACCAGGCACTGGTGCCAAGGGGCCAAATAGTCTGCTGTTCCAGGAGTGTAAATCAGCCTCATTGAGCACAAAGGAAACAATACATGCAAATCATCTTGTCTAATTACAGCTGAGTCACATCTTCCTCCAGTGAAGACAGTCTGTACGTTACACCTAACTACCAATTAACTGTAAGCTGCCCGTGTTGTTCAGAAAATGAAAGCTATTCACACGTGATGGCGACATGTGTTCCATATCTGGCATACATGACTTCTGACAGCAGGAGTAACACCTGAGCCTATGTGTTCTGAGAAAACCACTAAAGTTAGGCAGGCCCATGACACATGAAAGATTTCCTCCCACTGTTTGATACTATGCCTGCATGGGAAACATATGGGAGCAGTGGAAGCATATGGCTGGTGCCCTTGTGTCTTGGTGTCTCAGTGATCTTAAGTTCAGGGGCATTAGATGTGGTTTAATTGAACATTCAGGCATACAATGACACATCTCTATACTAACAATCTGGTTTGTTGCTGATGGAGCAGGATAAAGAACAGGGGCGTGACTTACCACGGGATCACAGGGGATATGTCCCCTGCCCTTAGATGGATGTCAGTATTGGACTCCACTTTTATAGAATCAAAAAAACTGCACTTACACTTCTGTGTCAGATTGACGCTGGACCCTATGCCGTAGCCTGACGTGCACCTCCCCAGAAATGTAACTGCACGTTACGTTGAAGCTGAAACCATTTCCCGCAGTGGAAACAAAACTTTTATTTACTTTAATTTCACAGATAAGAAACAATAAATTGTGAAGACAATAAGGCCTCCACAAATTTTGCATTTTTTTTTGCATTTGTGTGTGATTTATCCTGGCTTCATATGAGCAGAGGAAACCTCTGCTAGTTGCCAGGCTAATTTTTACAATGTAAAACGCCATCGGCTTGCGCTAATAACGTTAGCATGTTATATTTGATTGGAAAACGTGTTTAGTATAAATCCCTATTCAGACAGGATCAATTAAACGTGGATACGTGGGGTAAAGTAATTATTACCAGGGATTTTAGTCCCGTCTGAACGCGCCATGTCTGTAATCATTACAGATAATGTCAGTAAAAATTATGGCGACTTTTACCTTCTGTAACACAGTCCGGAGAAATTACCTCGGGTAATATTGATCCCATGCGAATGTGATCTTCTGTAAAAATGTATGTAAATATTTCATCATCTCTTGTTTACAACCATTTTTCCACGTGTACAACAACGCGTTTTTTCGATGATGGAGGTGCTTGAAAAGGCATTTGGTGTTGTCGGGAGTCGTGATAGTGGACATTCTTCAAAAAGGTCGAGAAGAAAGCACTTTTCAGAGCCACGAGAATTCTGGTTGTGGTAGGTAGGCTTAATATAAATTCATATTGCTAATCGTTGTAATAAATGTAAATACAATACATGTAAATGTAAATACAGGAAGCAACATAGCACGCACATGCCGACAAGGAGGTGACGCCAGGGCGCAAACCGAGTTACCACTCCCATCTCTGGTAGAATTACGGAGATTTCTTGTCCTGTGCGAATGGGACATTTATATTACAGACATCCTAAAACTAATCCCGTCCGAATAGTACTAAGACGGCTGTTTTGTTGGTGAACCTTGTGAGTTGTAATGGAGCTGAATTTTGTATTGTTACCTTTGTTAAATGTTGCTGTTAAGAGCACGCAGAAATAACGCCCCCTGTTCTCTTTCTCTAATTTAGATAGATTCGAGCAGCTGGTCAGCAGCTCGGCAGACACGTAAGCACTGTCACTCAAATTACAAAGGATGGAGGACATTAGAAAAAAAAGGGCAATGGACGTCTTCAGACAATTTAAATCAAGCTAGCTAATGCTACATGGGGCATTTTCATAAAGAAATCATGTTGGAGTATCTATCACTGTAAACACCTTTTGTTGGACTGCTGCTATTTATTTATTTTTACGTTATTAAAAAGAAGCAGTCAGTCTGACACTCAGCTTCTACATTCCACATATTCATTACAGTTTATATTTTTGTGGATCATTTATAGTGTTGGTAACTTAGCTGCTCCGACAGGTGATAGGCATGTAGCAGGGACTGCATGTAGAAAGTGGAGAAGTAAATGAATGTCACAGCCCGAGCCATGTTAATACTTTCCCTTTGTTTTTCCTTGTCCTCTGTTTCCCCTCGTCCGTCTCTATGTATGTCTGTGCTGTGGGCGTAGCAACTCCCTCACTCTCCTGGGTTCATTAACTCACCTGCTTCCTGCTGCTCACCTGAGACCCATCCAGTAATCAGCCCTGCCAGATTGCAAGATCACTGTGTCTACCACTGTGGTACACTCACACTTCAGGCCGCTGTTGAACTGTGAATTCAACTTAGACTGTTGCTTGTGTATTTTTTTCGTGGATACTTACCTAGTGTTTTCCTCTGTCATAGGATCACTGCCTACCTACCTGTTTGACCTTCTGCCACGCTCCCAGCCAGCCAAACCCCTCCAACCTTGTTTTGGCTTCCCTGCAATCAGCCCACTTCCCTCGCCTTCAATCCCTGGATTTTCCCCTACGGGTTCATTATCCTGGCAATGAAACCCCTTTTTTTTTTTTACCACTTTCTTTCTGAGTCTGTGTTCTGTGTTTGGGTTCATCTTGTTGATCGTAATAATGAATCATAAATTATAAAATGAACTAATGTACCAGAGGTTGTCGCACAGATGGTTGACAAATTCAAACCAACATGAAGTGCCTTATTATGGAGTCAGACCACCACTTCAGCTCTGTTGGGGGGATTAACTCCTCCTTTCCTCTACATTTTATTTATACGTACAACCTTTAAATAATCAGGTAACTTCATTGAAATCAAGGTGCCCCTATTCTGCACTTTTTTCGCCAATGGAATATGTCAATATATTCATCAATTTAATCACTTTTTGCCACATTTTGCTGTTTAAAACAATTATTACAATCATCTGTTTGATGGAGGGGACACATCACATGTTAAATTATAAAAAAACAGTTGTGTTTTGTTCTACCACAGGTAGGAATATCTGAAAAACTGAAACCCTTTCAAGGATTTGTGCCTATAACTGTGTTTCCTCCAGCTCTGATATTAAAATTCCGCCCCTGACAAAGTTTACATATTAAGTAGAATTTAATTAAAATCCACAAGCACCTTGATTGTTTTCAAGTAGAGGACATCATCCAGATATAACTTTATAACAAATATGAAATACCCATATTAAATTTATAGATGTACACATATAAAAAATATCTATACGATGAATTTTCATCATATCATCATGTATTTTATGTTTTGACCATATGTTGACAATAAATTTAGGTTTTACATCCAAGTTTATGACAATAGCATCTATACAACATATCATTCTGATATTATTAAAAAATATTTTTACATATAAAAAATAAGCATGTATTCATGGGCTATGGGGTGGATATATGTGTGTGTGTATATATATATATGTCTGTGTGTGTGTGTGTGTGTGTGTGTGTGTGTGTGTGTGTGTGTGTGTAACATATATCTTTATGTTTATATGTTTCATATAAACAGTTTATAAAAAACAAATATATACAGATATACAGTATATTTAATTTGTACATCCAAGATTATATGGAATATGTGTGTGTGTGTGTGTGTGTGTGTGTGTGTGTGTGTGTGTGGGTGTAACCTATATCTTATGTAGTAGATATACATGCACTAACAAACATATACATAGGTTCTTACTTCATATTAATGTACGAAAATTCAGTATTTGTTACATCTCTGTATGGGCCTTGGGTACCAGTAAAAATGATGATGGAAGGAGACTGCTGACTCACTCTGAGGGAGTTTTCTGCTGGTAAAAACATGCCATTAAAAACCACTAAACCTAATGTGGACCAGCCAGCGCTGACCTGTGCCAAGTCTTCAACCTTGAGTTTTAAGATTGTGCGTGTGTCAACAGCGACCTCTGCTGACAGTTTACCTTCAGTACAGCTGGCTCCATGTCAAGATTTGAGGAAGTGAATGAGGGAAGTAAACCCCTCAAAAAAGGCATGTAGTGACCTGCAACAGTTTTTGTCAGATGTAGTAATAATAATATTGATAAAGTCAACTTCCTATCTGTAACAATTAATTTCACTGAAGTTTCTGATCAGCAGGAATAGAGATGAAAAGAATGTAAATAAGACATGACAGTCAGTGATGTCAGCAGAGGTGTGGTATTTGCTTTAACTCTGAAAGAGGACACCAGTTTCGGCGTCACTGAATGAGGTGTGTTGAGCAGTACAACAGGTTTTCTGGTTTGCATGAGTTAAGTTTTGATTTCCTTGCTCCGGCAAAGTGCTTATCATTATGTAATAGTATGTGTTGCCAACACGTCTATACCTGTAAATTTCAAAGTCTGACTGTAATCAGATGAGTGAGTGTGACATGAATTGTGAGATGCTCCCCTGCAGCATTGTTCATGAAACCACATTAATTTCATCCCCAGAAAAGTTGAAACAGGAATAAACACACATAGATCTTTGTTTGGTTCTGATGGTAGATTTATTTATGAAGCTCCTGTTTTTGGATTAAAGAGAAATCTGTGTATTGGGGTTATAAATGTTATCTTACTGTAAACAGAAGTTTAAAAAAAAAAAACAACCTGTCAACCTGTAATCATGCATTTTAAAAACGGTACTAAATAAGATCACTAGGAATGTTTGTAGGGCTTATCTTATTTTCGGAATATCTGAACGTATTTAAGAATTGCTTTTCTTCATATAATTTCAGATTCTAGCTCCTTAAATAAAAAGGAAAAACAAAACAAAGTTAAGAATATAATAAAAATGTCTTCAAAGAGGGACAGAATGCTAAAAATAATGTTCACCAAGGAACTGATATCCTCTCTTGACTTCATCTGTACTGGATCACATACTCTGGATATATTTGATTCGGATCAAATATAACAAAAATCTTGGGATGTTCAATATCATCCACACAGCTGTAGTGTGTGTTTTCAGAACTTCCATCGTCAGGTTTTCGAAAAAATGTCTGTCCAGCAGTTGATTTCCCGATAATCACCCGTGCCAAAAATATTATTTTGGTGTATTTACCCTGTGCACTTTGTGTTCCCCCGCCATACAGCGGCAATGGATCCGTGCTGATGATGCTGTATCTGTCTGCAAATGCTGCATGTATGGCAAAATATATTCCTGAATAAAAACAGAGAAACTCAGATTAGTCAGATCTACATGTGCAGTTACTGACATTTTTTTGCACATACAGCAATTACTGTGTCATTTAACGTACCTTTGCCATACACGCCACTTCGGGATAGTCGTATATCAAAGTTGTACTTGCAAATGCTGTCAACATTTCTGATTTCGGTCCCATGAAAGAGTCTTCTCTCTTGAATATCTTTGACGCCTTGAAGCCTCATTATCTGCTTCTTTTTCCTTGGACACGAATAAAAGAGAAGAAGCTTTTGGTTACAAAGAAGAGGTATAATTAGGGGAATGAAGGGAGACAAAATCAACAACCTACTTACCGACAAAAGATGTCCCACAGGTCCAAATTCTGTATCCTGCTGATTGATACAATGGGGTTGTCCAACAACCCATCTGTCTTCACATAATTTGCCACAGTCTGATACTCTGGGGTGTGTTCACTCAGAGGGATTAACTGGAAAATATATTTAAATAAACATTGAAAACAAACAAAGATAATTACAAGAATGTTGATATGTTTAGAAACTCAAGTTACTCTGACTAAGTCAATTTGGAGATGACAGAAACAAAGGCCAAAATTAACGTGCCGGAATACGAAATAGATTACGTTTCTAGTGAGTTAATTTTAATTTGTTTTCATCTGATATAGAAATGCACAAAATGAGGCTATTAGACAGCTAGCTTGCTAATGTAAGCTTAATTAAACAGCTCACTGTACTGGTTGTTTGCAAGAATTTTGTTATGACTAGCAAGTTACTGTAACTAAATTACCTTAGAGTTGACAGAAACAAAGGTCAAAATTAATGTGCAGGAATACGAAATGATGTAGTTTGTAGTTTACGTTAGTTTGTTGTCACTTGATATGGAGAAGCACAAAATGGGGCTACTGCACAGCTAGCTTGCTAATGTTAGCTTAATTAAACAGCACACGGTACTGGGTGTTTGCAAGAATGTTGTTACGATTAGAAACTCAAGTTACTGTGACTAAGTTACTTCCGAGATGACAGAAATAAAAAGCCAAAATTATCGTGCAGGAATATGAAATAAATTTAGTTTTGTGTTAGTTTGTTAATGTGTTTTAACCTGATACAGAGAGGCTCAAAATGGGGCTATTAGACAGCTAGCTTGCTAGTGTTAACTTAATTAAGAAGCTCACAGTACTGGGTGTTTGCAAGAATGTTGATATGATTACAAACTCAAGTTACTTTGGCTAAGTTACTTTCAAGATGACAGAAACAAAAGTCAAAATTAACGTGCAGTAATATGAAATAAATTTAGTTTCTAGTTAGCTAACATTTTTTTGTTGTCACCTGATATGAAGAAACACAAAACGGGGCTATTAGACAGCTACCTTGCTAATGTTAGCTCAATTAAAAAGCTCACAGTACTGAATGTTTGCGAGAATGCTGATATGGTTAGAAACTCAAGTTACTATGACTAAGTTACTTCCAAGATGAAACAAAAGCCAAAATTATCGTTCCAGGAATACAAAATAATTTTAGTTTCTAGTTAGTTATTGTTAATTTGTTGTCACCTGATATAGAGAAGCACAAAATGGGGCTATTAGACAGCTAGCTTGCTAATGTTAGCTTAATTAATAAGCTCACAGTACTGGGTGTTTCCAAGAATGTTAATATGATTAGAAACTCAAGTTACTTTGGCTAAGTTACTTCCAAGATGACAGAAACAAAAGTCAAAATTAACGTGCAGGAATATGAAATAAATTTAGTTTCTAGTTAGTTAACATTTTTTTGTTGTCACCTGATATGAAGAAGCACAAAATGGAGCTACTAGACAGCTTGCTAATGTTAGTTAATTATAAAGCTCACGGTACTGTTTGTTTACAAGAATTAAATGTTGATGTGACTAACTCAAGTTACTAAATTACTTCCGGTATGACAGAAACAAAGGCCAAAATTAATGTGCAGGAATACAAAATAAATTTAGTTTCTAGTTAGCTCATGTTAATTTGTTGTTACCTGATATGGGCAAGTGGGGTCAACCTTTTCCCAGAAGACGGGAGCAGCACTGAAGCAGGAGCAACTGTGGGAGGAAAGAGAAACCGTGCTGAGAGTTTCACTTTCATTTTGCAAGAAACCATACTGACATGTCCATGATTGACTGCTGTGCATGTAAATCGTTTGATGTATGTTTAAAGCCTCACCTTCTCTCCACGTTGCCCCGAAGGATTCGTCTTTGCCCTCCTGTGCTGAGGTTAGTGTGTAACATTGCTGTTTAAGAACACAGAAGTCATGTCAATGCAGTATTTTTAATATATAAATGAAGACTTAATGTGAACAAGAAAATGTAGTCAGATACCTGAGAAATCGATCCTGCTGTGACGGTTGCATGAAGATGTATTAACCACCGCTTTTGGGTTTCTTTGGTAATAGTTTTCAATATCCTCACTTCTGAGGGGGTTATCGGAGTCATCCTGTGGGATGATAGAAAGTAACAAGTTAAGCTGTAGTACATCAGACAATCTGCTCTATAAAGTCTTATAAGGTAATAGACATGATGATGTAGATCATGATAGACAGTGATCTAAATTAGTATTCAAAATTTACCTCAAATTTGTGCCATCTTCCACAATCTGCCAGGAAATACCAAAACCACGGGGTGTCCGATGTGTCCATGAACTCCACGTCTTTACTGTACCACATTGTCCTGACACAGTTTAAACAGATATCACAACAAAAGCTAAATAAATACGTTCTAAAACTGGCTGTATTCTCTCTGGTTTCCCTCAGGTATCTATTAAAGTTGACACTGATGCACTGACTCTTGAATGAATGAGATGTCATAAATAGCCACACCCCTGAGGTAGGCTGGCTTTCCTCACTTCAAAGAAAAAGGAAGAGCATAAGAAAGTTTCCCATCAGTCTCTGAAATGTTTTCAAAAAGAAATAATGCGCTTAATTTAAAAGTTTATTAGTTGTAACGTGCAGATTACAGACACACACATATAGCTTCATACATCCCAACACTCACTCACACACAGCCATGATAAAGACATCAGATAGTGTCTTCACTTGTCTGCATTTACTATGAGGAAATGCACACAGCAATGCAATATTACATTTTGTGGCTAATTTTTATAACAGTACTGTACATGTGCTGGCTACATTCATTTTTTAATTATAAATTTACACCAGGTGCAAAGAAAACCTGCTTATTCCTCAAAGAAACGTGTTCGCAGGTGGTGACATCACACTCAGATGGTTATAAAGGAATGCTTCACAAAATGCATAATGACCACTTGTTTATCAATTGATCTTTCACTAAGCCCCGCCTCTTTGTGATGGTCTAACAAGCTGTCGGAGTAAGCATGGACCCCACACTGTAACTAACTGCACTCCCTCCACCCCAGCTCCTCCTTTTCATGCTGTGTCTGACTTATCAGTGTCATTTCTGTTTGTCACTGATGCTGCTCTGTTCTGTTCCCAGGGGGGTCTTTGCTGCTGCTCTCCCTGCCTTCGGCTTTCCATGTAGGCGCATGGAAGGGCAGGGAGGTGTGCTCTCCCTGCCTTAGGCTTTCCATTAGGGGTGTCATGATTTAGATTTTTTATCGATATCGATCGAAATTACGTCATGGTCTCGAGCATCGAAATCAAAGAGAGGATCGACGATCACCCCCCCCCCCCCCCCCCCCCCCCCCCCCCCCCCCCCCCCCCCCCCCCCCTTTACCCACCCCCCCCCACACACACCCCCCCCCCCCCCCTCCCCCCCAGGTTTACATACATCAGGGAGGTGTGCAAAGAGTTAAAAGCACATGATGACGCAGCACATTGTAACCGACGCCACTAGTTAGCTAACCTGCAGTTTATTACACCATGGCAAGTGCAGATAAAGGAGACGTGGCACTGGAGCTTGAAGCCGCTCCTACTTCTCTTAAATCACCAGTGTGGAAATATTTTGCATTCCCGGTGAGTTATGTCGACAACATTCGCATTGATACATTACACAAGAATAATGGAAATTGCATCACTTATATGTAGCCCATTTTGAAATAAGATTTACTGTACAAAATTTAATGAATAAAACCAATGATTGTAAACTAGACTAGTCTAAAAATGGCATAGGCCTCTGTGCTGTAAGAAAAAGAAAAAAAATCGAGAATTGAATCGAATCGTGACCCTAAAATCGAAAATCAAATCGAATCGAGGATTTGGAGAATCGTGACACCCCTACTTTCCATGTAAGTGCGTAGAAGAGGCTTTCTACATAGGCCTGAGGAAAGGCAAAGGGGCCCCAGAACAGAGCCATACCGCCAAATATAATTCTGCAAATGGAAATAAAGTTTTTGTTGACTAAAGTGTTCCTGACTGAAGTGATATTTTAGGTTCCCAATGACTTTAATTTTTAAAGAATGTTCACCTTTTTTGGATTCTCCGTTCACCATGGAAACATGCCAGAGAAATAAAAGCTTTCTTCACATATTCCACGTAACACACAGGAAGTAACTGATATACAAATGGTCATTTTGCGGGTCAAGTATTCTTTTAAGTCGAATGAACTGATCTACTTTTGCTTTGGAATGAACTCGGCTGCAAACACCCACAAAACCCAACTCCAGCCGCTGTCAAGTTTTCTCAAGTTTGAAGTCAATGTTCAGAAAAGATACACAGAAACATATTGCTCAAGGACCACAAGACATCACGACTTTATGTCATTGTGACACAGTTACAGAACCTTTCATGGAAAGGGGGGAAAGTGCACTGATGCATGGTTAAAAATAATGCAGAGGTAGAAGCGTTTTTCTGAATAAAAACAAAAAAACTAATCCATGCCTACGTAATACATTGTACTAGGTACACACAGATATGTTGATGTGACTAACCGACAGGTCACGGTGCTGAATGAGTGAGCAGGAACGTCTTGTGGTTTTTGGTTTCGTCCTTTGGAATAATGTCTACATGACTTGTAAATAAGCTCATGCGTGGCACTGTGGATGTGGAGGAGGGGCTGTGGCCGATGGCAGGACACCACCTGTAACCTACAGCAGGGATACTCAACTTGATTTGCCCGGGGCCGCTTTCTGAAGAGTTGTTATGAACAGGCTCCATTTTGATGCACTCATACACCTTATTTACATTTAAAGTACAAGAAGAATTCCCAGTATTTGAATTGCAGTGTTAATTTTGGCAGCTACTTTAGATTTGGTCTTCACTTTAGATGAAAATGCGAATTAGTTTAAGTCACATTTTACTCATTTTTATCCTTCATACCTGGGCTAATACAGGTTAGGGCTGGGCGATATGGACAAAAATTCATATCTCGGTATTTACAGGCTGACTGGTGATACACAATGTATATCTCGGTATTTTCTATGAAATGGGCAACATGTTTTCAGCTGGAAGTCAAAGCCACATTTCAGATGTCACAATCACTTTTATAAAAACAGACTGCGATCTAAATAAAATGCAAAGACAGGGATTTTTCCCCTGTTTTAAAACATACAGCTGCACAACATGTAAATGAAAAATTCTATCAAATAAATAGCGGGGCTGTACAGTTAACGTTTTTGCACACAGCACTGGAGCTACAGAGGTTTAAAGGTTTGCAACATAGGAAACAAAACTATAACATGAGTAAAAACGTATCAAGTAGGTTTGAAACAATTAAAAAAACTTTGTGGAAGGAGTTAAAAAGTTGTTTTCCACATCTCACAGACTGATTTAGTGTAGCATGTGCAACATACAGACTGATGTCACACTGTGGACTAACAGACAGATTAAACAGAGGAGCAGCTCTGTGTCTCTCTGAATGTTGCTGGAGAACTTGTGAGTGAGTGAGTGAGTGAGTGAGTGGGGCGGAGCTGTGTGGAGAGTATGAGAGAGGCGAGATGCTCACTAGTATGCGTTATGTAACGCAGCTTGACCCTATATCAATATAAACAGTGTTGTCTAAATCAATATCTTGCTTGAAAATGTATCGATATATCGTACAGTCCTAATTGCACTGTTATGTTATTCAAATCTGCGCCTTGCGTACTACATGGTTGTCTTCTGTGTGTCTTGTTTGTATATGATGGTTGTAACGGCTATGCAGCTATGTTGCACTATGTTCCCAAGACAAATTTCCCGCTTGGGACAATAAAGTTTATCTTATCTTATATCGCCCAGCCCTAATACAGGTATCAGAAACTGGAATCAAGGTGACAGGTTGTATCATGTCTTAAAATTTAGACTTTTTTTCTACAACTACAAATAATTTCTTCACATTTACAAACTTGCATTTCCCCGGCAGAGTTTTGGACAGGTTTAAGGGATGATTTATCTGCACACACTTACTGATCGCCAATAAAAAAGCTCAACATCTGTCTATTTATGGACTCAAAAACTTTGAGATCACAAACGTGACAACTAGGATTTGTTCCCAGATTCATCATAAACTCAGACATATCAATCCCACTTTTAAGAGGCAGAAAAATAACTTCATTTCACCCTGAAACAAGCGGAGCTAGCTGCTAACAGCCACCGCTGCAACTTACAAACTCCACAAATCTATTCAACAGCTCCATCATCCACAATCCGACACATACAGCTTCTTGTTTACTGCCGAATTACAGCTCACAAGTCTGATGAAGGTATGAAGGTATTAATCTGGGTTGTCACAGTTGTTCCTTTTAACTCGCACCGTGTACAGTTGTAGCTTTTAAATTTCATTGTACTGGTACAATGACAACGAAGGACTTCTATTCTACTCTATTCTAGCACTGACTATTTACTGGAGTTTGCTGACACATAGGCGCTCCGACCTCACATCGCTCATATCGCATTATAAAAATGCAAGTACTGCCGTTCTTGGCTTCCTAGTTTAAAACATTTTTCTATGAAATTTCATTGAAAAAACTGGTCATTTATTCTCCTCTTTTCTAATTTCGAATGTCCGATAGTACACCACTAACATTTTTGTCCTGTCTTGTCTCATCGAAGAAAATTAATCATATGTTTCGTCATTGTTTTTATGATCTATTTTTAGCTTGTCAATGTCTCTTGTTGACATACTCTTTTTTTGTCATAGTGTTCTTTAACGAAATTAACACTGTGTTACAGTGAATTAGAAAATGGTTGACGGGCTGCCCAGGACCCTACTGCGAGCAAGATTTGGCCCCCGTAAGTTGAGTATCACTGACCTACAGGCTGCAAGTGCCTCTCTTATTTTAAACTGTGCACAGATATTGAAGAAGCAAGCACGTTTTTCTGCATCTAATACAAAACTGCCACAATGACTGATCTCAAATCAGTAATTTCATCCTTTTTACACTGCAGAGGGGCGTCGGTGGCTTAGTGGATAGAGCAGGCGCCCCATGTACAAGGCTATTGCTGCAGCGGCCCGGGTTCAACTGCAGCCTCTCTCTCCCCCTTTCACACTTGTCTGCCCTATCAATTAAAGGCTAAAATGCCCTCCCCCAAAAAACCATCTTTAAATATCTTTTTACACTGCAGAAACATTCCGACCACAAGTGCCCGCTCCAGAATACACTGTACAGTACACAAACTGTACACAGAGTCTTTATTGTCTTCGTTTTCCCAGTTTCTCCAAAGGCACTTTATAGATGAGCCATGCTCCTGTTCGGCTCTGGATCAGACTTGCCTTGTTGTTGGGCCTCAGTAGAACTCAATCAGATACTCTGGGTAAATCTGATTGCTGTCAAAAATGACATAAATCTTTGGATTGGCCATGTCGTCCACACAACTGTCGTAAAAGCTGGTGAAGCTGGTGTCCTTGGAGGGTGGCCTGCAGTACATGGGATGACCGACTGTGTATTCTCCGACAAGAACTCTGGCCAGGAACATGGACTTGTAGGGCGGCTCACTAGCAAATATTGGAGGGGCGAGGCCGTGTCTCTGCAGGGTGGTGTTGTGCTTCCCTGTGGTGTGACAGAATTTACTGGAGTATTTAGCATCCCGGGCAAAGTAGCTCCCTGTGGGAAAGAAAAATAAAATGTTAAAATCAGACACAAAAAAACAGTGAATTGTTTCATGATGTTACATCACAAAACAGAAGGATCTACCTTTCCCATAGACATCGCCATGGCTTCCTGTGAGCCGCCAGTCAAAGTTAAAAGTACATATAGCTTGTATGTTACTGTGTCCTGTGCCATGAAACAGCATTCGCTCCTCAATATCCAATGTGCGCTTGACTTTTCGCAACTGTGTTTTCTTCCTTAGGGGAGAACCAGGGAATGACAACACAACACAGAGAACTGATCATCACTTTGTTTCTCCTTGTAGTCTCAAATGTTGCATCAAAATCCATTGTTTCATTCTGTTGATTTACTTTGTCTGTAGTAGGAGTTCACAGCAGAATCCTCCACTAACACTAACAAACACTTGTGGACATTGTGCCGTCCACTCACAACACAGCAATTGTCTACCTGCAGAAGAATTCCCACAAGTCCAGGTTCTGAATCCTCTGGATGGATTTGATCGGATGATCCATTGTCCGTTCGTACAGTCTGGCGACCTCTTTAAACTCGTAGGTGTCTCTTCCAAGCTGGATGATCTGCAAAAACACAATCACACCTGAGCTACAAGCTGGTCCTTTGACAGTTTTCTTAGGTTTGCAGAAAATTTAAGAAGACTGCTTCTGGACAATCAGCATTTTCAGTCATAGTGTAAGATAAATGGAACTTAATTCTCACCCATATCAGAGAATGCACGAGCTTCAAAGCTTGATTTATACTTGTGCGTCAGCTCTATGCAGAGCCTACACCATAGCCTACACTAAGTCGCTGTGAGCATTTATACTTGTACGGTGGTGTGTCTGTGTCACTCTGCAGAACATTAGTAAGCATTGGGGTTTCTGTGAAGTGCTGTAAAGTTTAATTGATTAAACGCACATTAAACATGGCTTAATAGAGACCGTTTCAAACACAAGTACACAAATCAGCTTCACTATAACTCGCAGCATTCACAGATAAACAACCATCTTATACTAAACACATTTTCCAAACAAATGTAACATGCTAACGTTATTAGCACAAGCCTATGGCATTTTACATTGTATAAATTAGCCTAGCAGCTAGCAGACTTTTCCTCTACTCATATGAAACCAGGGACAACAGCAACGTTTAACAAAGGTAACGTTACAAAATTTGGCTCCATTACAACTCACAAGGTTCACTGACAAAACAACTGTCTTATACTAAACACTTTTTCTAAACAAATACAACATGCTAACATTATCAGCACAAGCCTATGGCATTTTACATTGTATAAATTAGCCTAACGACGAGCGGAGATTTCCTCTGCTCATATGAAGCCAGGATAAATCACACACAAGACTCAAAATGCTATTTCTGTGGAGGCTTTATTGTCTTCACAGTTTATTGTTTCTTATCTGTATTAGGACCTTTATTATTCCTTATTTACATTAATGACTTTTCATCAGCTTGTAAAGCTTTACTACCTATTTTGTTTGCCCCTCTCTTCAAAAAACTGAATATCCTGTCTGTGTACAACATCAATATTCATCAGATATGTTTTTATATATAAATGCATGTTTTTGCCCTGTTCTTTACCATCTTCTTTTAAAAAAAAAATTCCTGTTAAATTCCCAACTTCATTCTTACACTACTAGACAGGTTGATTATCTTCATCTTCCTTTATATAAAACTAAACAAGGCCAGTTTTCCCTCAGATATTCCATCAAATCTGGAATGATAAAAGACATATTGTTATGAGCTCATCATCCTTAAAATTTTTTTAAAAGGAATATGTCATTTCACCTAATTCATGAAGTTTATTCATGAAGTATGCCTAACTACATTGCATTTATGTATGTTTTATATGCCCTTTTTGTCAATTCTATTGGGTTTTTGTGACCTCAAATAGTTTTTCAATTAGATATTTGTGTAGATTTTTGCTTTTGATGTTTTAATTGTCATTTTTCTTTTCTTCTCTTTTTCCTTTCTTTTCTTTTTCTTTTCTTTTTTTGTATTGTAAATTGTTGGTTTCTTTTGACTTTTGAGAAAGGTGAGGTCCCTCGTATAAGCCTGTTGGCTTCTTGACCTCTCCTGACACATTTATTTTTATCCTTTAATTTGGTTTGCTTTTAAATCTCTTATGTGTGCAAAAATAAATACAAATACAAAATTTAAGTAAATAAAAGCTTCATCAGCACCTGCACCTCCTTTATATTAAAAGACATGTAAATCTGACATTTTACAACATGGGACCTTTGAAACTATCTACTCATAGTGAGGCAGACATTTGTTTACCAGACTTTAGTAGCAACTGCTCCACCCTGAGTATATATACAGGAAATTCAGGACACAATTTAGCTTGTTATTTGATGATGATAATAATGATAATAATAATAATAATATTATTATTATTATTATTATTATTATTATTAACAACAACAACAACAACAACAACAACAACAATAATAATAATAATAATAATAATAATAATAATAATATAGCTGTTTCACATCTTTGCATGTCATGTCTTTATTTTTTGCACCAGTCCTGTCAATAAAAGTATCAATAAGTGTTGTCAGTTTTAATACTTGTATTAATGAAATCCTAACCAACAATGTGTTTGTGTATCAAACTAAGTGAACAGTCAACAGTTATGTGTGTTACCTGATAGGGCTCATCTGTATTGATTCTCTCCCAGTGACATGGAACAGGCAAGGCCGGATTATCACAAATAAACCTGATGGAATGAATGAAAGAAAGGAAACACGGATCAGTATTTAAATTTTTTCAGCAGTGTAAGTCTGAGTGTGTTTGCATTATGTCAATACACCAGTGACATTTAGGAAAAACATGCGATAAAGTTAAAAAATCAACATTTCTGAGATGAATGTGCCTTCTGCAGAAAAGCTCTTTTCTCTAGCTCCTCGTGTTTATGTTGAGACCAAAGTTCAGGGTCAGCTGCAGGTCGTCACCCTGTGGAGCTGGTAGGATTCCTGAGGCTGACACATGCTTGAACCCTGAACAATAATTTAAAGCATGGTATCCTTACCCCCAAACCTCACCCTGACTGCTCCAACATATCCCCTTGGTTGATGGCAAGATGAACAGAAGACATAAAGACTCTGCATGCCACCAGATCTTACCTAAAGCCAGTCGCAGAGTGGAGGGAGCGTTTGATCGGCCGCTGCTTCCCTGTCGTTACATTTATCTGCCGCATCACTGGTGAGGAATTCAGCAAAGATTAGAGCCACAAGAACTCACAATCATGCACAATATTCGCCGTCTGATGAAGTACTTTCAACCGACTCGTCATCGTACCTGAGAAGTCCAGTCTGTAGGTGTACTTGGCCGTGTAGAACTCCATGACGCCTCGCTGGTTTCTGTTGTAGCACTGCTCGATCTGAGCACTTGTCACAGAGCAGGCTGCACTGGGATCAATCTGACAGGGAGATTAAGAAACATACATTAGTCTAAGTGAGAGATGAAAGGACGATTAATTGATCAGTCAATCGACAGACTATTTATCAATAATGAAGTGTCCACCTGTGTGATAAACACATTGTGACAGTCTGTGATATCCCACTCAGTGACAGAGACTCTGATGCATGTGCTGCCCAAACCTACATACATTTTGGATGGGAATTAGCGCCCAGATTGACAAATTCAGACCCACAAAATTCCCTTTTCTTGTCGTCTATTTGTAGGAGATCCTTCACTTCTTAGAGATCTGAGTTCCACACATGCAGAGTGGATTCAGACTGCACTCATGCTGGGACGCAAACTAATTATGTGTGAATGGAGGGCCTCTGATGCTCCCTCAGTCAGTTCCTGGTAAAGTATATAAATAAAGTAGACCTCCTCACGTTGAAATGGAACAATTAGGAAACCCACTTTAAGATCCCACACGGAACTCATGTAAACCCTCTTGACCTCCATCTTATTGTGGACCATTGTGAAAACTGTGAATAATTTCTCATGCCTCCCTCTTTTCATTTAATGTTTATCCCTTTAAACAGGTTGCTCTGTATAGTTTATGTTTAGTTTTGTGGTGTGTAATGTGTTGAAAAATTATAATAAAATTCTAAATCTCAAAAATAAAATAAAATAAACATAGTGTCAGAAGAAAAGTGCCTTTTAAAATTCAGCTATCATTGTTTTTCTTTCATTGGTGCCTTTTGTGATGTTCAATTTAAACAATGACACCAACATTTTTTCCTCATATACACATACACCACCAAGCTGCCAGGGGCTGCAGATGAAAATGAGCCTGTGTGGCTAAATCTGGCACATTTACCTGACTTAAGTGATCATGATATTTCAAAATAAATAATCAAATAAACCTGAACTGCACTAGACAGCATTATAGACCCAGGTATTACAGTGTAAGGACGGTGAGACAGTCATGTTTAGGACTGTGGACTACCTCAAACATATGCCACACTCCACACTCAGCGAGGTAGAACCAGCACCAGTTGGGCTCCGAGGTGTCCATCTCCTCCATCTCAGTGGACTCCTCCTCCGACGATCTGATGGCTAACATAGCTAAATCTGAAATTAATGAGGGAAGAGACGCTAACAAACTTAGGCAATTAGCAACTAAACAATCAGAGAATACGTGCAGACCAAGACGGTGTTTTCAGCCTGTGATAAATATCAAAAAGATGTTTATAAGTCATGGTCACGAGGGCATTTCATCCTGTAAACACAGTCCAGTAATACAGGAAACTGCCGAGTCGAGCTAGCTGGCATTAGCTGCTGCCGCACCCGACTCTCCTCGGCTCAACGGGGGTCTTACCGGTTTCCAGTCCGCCTCTGACTGGGTTTTTCTCGGGATATGGATCCTTCGCTACAAAGTATTTTCGTCTCCCTCTGCCTTGTTTACTTTTATTTCCTGGTTGCGTTCGGCACACGCATTACGTCAATGCGTCAATGTGATGTAACTGCGCAGCCCTGGGTTTGTCCTGACAGGTACAGAGTCTGCCTGGATACAGTCCAATAAAATGGTATCATTATTAATACATAAATACAACAGTGGGCATACAGTGTCTTTATATAGAAATAGAGTAGGGAACTTGAATGATAGAAATTTCAAACAGATTTTTTTTTTGAAGTGTTATAGGAACTAATAAATGTGGACAAAAAATGGCTATAAACAAATAAAAAATAATAACTAAAATATATGATAATACATTAATGTAGAAATAAATACAGGATTACATAAAATATCTATAAAGCAATATATAAAATAAAGCTGGAATAATTATGGAAACAAATACCGAAAGAAATAAATGCATAAGTTGTGACCTCCTACCATATGAACATATAGACACAAAAAATACAAACATAAATACATGCGCTTGTACAATAATGTGGAGATAAGTTTAACATATTTATTTATTCATGTCCTGTTAAGTAATCAACTTCTACGTATTGATTCTTGCATTATTTTGATATTTATTTCAACGTTTATTTTTCTTGAGTTTATTTATTTATGCATTTCTTTATTTCTCTATTTATTTGTGTGTTTATTCATCCCAGTATGTATTTATACATTAATTCATTTCTGTATTTATTTCTGTATATATTTATTTATCTATCCAAATTTGAATTTACACATTCATTTATTGCTGTGTTTATTTGTTTATTTATTTATTTATCACTGTATGTATTTATACATTGATTTATTTCTGTATTTATTTATTTATTTATCCCTTTGTGTATTTATACATTGATTTATTTCTGTACTTATTTATTTATCCCTGTATGTATTTAAACATTGATTTATTTCTGTTTATTTATTTATTTATCCCAGTATGCATTTAAACATTGATTTATTTCTGTTTATTTATTTATTTATCCCAGTATGCATTTAAACATTGATTTATTTCTGTATTTCTGTATTTATTTATCCCGGTAGGTATTTAAACATTGATTTATTTCTGTTTGTTTATTTATTTATCCCAGTATGCATTTAAACATTGATTTATTTCTGTATTTCTGTATTTATTTATCCCAGTAGGTATTTAAACATTGATTTATTTCTGTTTGTTTATTTATTTATCCCAGTATATATTTAAACATTGATTTATTTCTGTATTTATTTATCCCATTATGTATTTAAACATTGACTTATTTCTGTTTATTTATATATTTATCCCAGTATATATTTAAACATTGATTTATTTCTGTTTATTTATTTATTTATTTATTTATTTATCCCAGTATATATTTAAACATTGATTTATTTCTGTATTTATTTATCCCAGTATGTATTTAAACACCGATTTATTTCTGTATTGATTTATTTATTTTTATCTCAGTAGGTATTTAAACATTGATTTATGTCTGTATTTATTTATTTATTTATTTATCCCAGTATGTATTTAATTTCTTATCTAGGCCTAACCGCCATATCGATTTTTACTAAACTTGGTAGATATGTAGAAAAGGACGCCTCAAGGTGACTGGAGAAATTTAACTCTAATTGGCAACTGGGTGGCGCTATAACAACAGAAAAATGCTTAAAAATGGCTAAAATGCAACCGATCACTGTGGCTGCAATCGTACTCTCAAATTCACAAAACCTCTGTCTGAATACATTGCTCTTCTTAATGGGTTCAGCTGACTATTTAACCTGCAATTTCCTATGACCTGTATCCCAAACACACACCATGTGAAACTGTACGTGGGCAACTGTGCACTCAATGGGTATGGACTAGTATTATTAAATGTTGTAAAATTGTTAATATAATTGTTGTTCTTTGTATGTATTCTTTTGCTTATTTATGTGTTTTTACCATTCAATAATGATTTTAAGAATTTATTGTAATTTATTTATTGTATTTAAAGATTAATTGTATTTACTGTAGTTTTTATTCAACAGCATTTGATTGATTTGAATGTGTGGAAGTTTAAGGGCATGTTTTATGTTTAAAAAGATATTTATCTCCCATTTTAAATGCAATAATGTTTAGACCAATATCACATTTATGAAGTGGATAACATAACAAAATAAAATACCAACTAAATATTATAAATAATATAATGGAAATTACTGTCCTCCGGTGTCAAATCCCTATTCTGAAAAAAATCCAAAGACTTATGACATCACTTCCTACTGTCCATCCTACTCCCTGAAGAACTGTAACTGAAGACACTTGGTAACTCTACTGCCTCTCTTCAAATGTTGGAAATATTATCATTTATCTCATAATTTCAGGTGAGGCTTTTAGTTGGTGTCACTGGAATGACTTATTTTATGACAAGGGAAATGTAAAAAATGATAATAACTGGATTAAATTACATATTTTAGTGAGTTTAGCATGATTAGCAACATGTGGTTTGAGGTACTGAAGCTGCCATTATGTGAAATACAGATTTCATGAAAACTGTCACTGGTGTTACTCGTCGTCACTGGTGTTACTGCTCCTCGTGGTAACACCAGTGACGACGAGTAACACCAGACTATCTTGTGTAAATACGCTTCAGTAAAGGCTTATAAAGAAGTTGTTATGCATAAAATAGCTCATTAGTACCCATTTCTTGTTAATAATTTCCTTTTATCTTCATTGTTATTGTTCCTTTTGTCAGGCATGGCCAAATTAAGTGCAGCAGAAAAGCAGAAATGTTACAGAGAGCATAGGGATGCAGGTCATGAGCGCAGAGCACCTACGCAGAGTACCTACGGAAAAGGAAACAGAGCTATGCCAAAGACATTGAGATGAAGAAGAGAAGGAAAATGAATCAATCAATTCATTTTAAATGGTAGTGGTATTAGGAACACATGAGTTTGACAACGTAGCCTACCTTTAATAGTAGTATAAGCAGCACAGAGTTTGACAATGTACTTTAATGGACAATGAGCCAGTTATCATCTTTGGTTTTGTACAAATACACAAATTTTAATCTTAAATAAATAATAATAATAAGAAGAAGAACTTTATTTATATAGCAGCTTTAAAAACAAAAGTTTACAAAGTGCTTTGACAAACAAAGCAAACGCAGGATATCTATAGCAACAGAGTCAAAACAGTGAGGGCAAACAAAAGTAGGACAAAATTAAGCTAAAATTGAGGTGAAGTTAAGCAAAACAGACAGAATGATAAGACAGAATGTTAAAAGAGATAAGAACAATAAAGGCAATAAAACTTATTTTTAAATACTAGAAACAAACAAATAGAAGGATAAAAAGAAAAAATTGCATAATGACAATAGAATAACAAAGAATAAACAATTACAAGCAATAGAATAAAATAAATAAAAAGAAGAATAAACAAAAAGAATAAATAAAAAGACGACATCACATAAAGGCAAGTCTATAAAAATGGGTTTTAAGAAGAGATTTAAAAGATGTTACTGATTCTGCAAGCTTTATCTCCTCAGGCAGGTCGTTCCAAAGTCGAGGGTCCCTGATGGAAGAAGTGCGGTCGCCTTTAGATTTAAGCCTCAACTTTGGAACGGCCAGGAGGGCCCTGCCCGAGGATCTAAGGCTGCGTACTGGCTCATATGGGGTCAACATTTCTGCTATGTAACTTGGGGCCAGACCCAGACGGGCTTTAAAAGTGATCAGTAAAATCTTAAAATCAATTCTAAAACGCACAGGGAGCCAATGGAGGGAAGCCAGGATTGGGGTGATGTGATGCCGTCTGTTAAAACCAGTAAGAAGTTTAGTTGCTGCGTTCTTGACCAGTTGGAGGCGGTAGAGTGATTTATGGTTTATGCCAGATAGGAGTGAGTTACAGTAATCGAGTCTGGAGAAGATGAATGTGTGGATTATTTTTTCTAAGTCAGAATGTGGGAGCATGGGTTTGATTTTGGAGATAGTTCTTAACTGATGGAAGCAGGACTGGACAACTTTATTGATATGAGGTTGGAAGTTGAGGTCTGGATCGAATATTACTCCTAAGTTTCTGGCTGCGGATTTGACGTTAACGGACAGGGGACCAAGGCTATTTTCAATGGGACTGGTGGAGTTTGGGGGAGTGAACAGTATGATTTCGGATTTGGAGTTATTGAGATGAAGAAAGTTTTGGGCCATCCAACAGTTGATATCGTTGAGACAGTCTAACACAGCAGCTAGGCTTCTTGGGTCATCCGGTTTCAGCGGGAGGTATATCTGTGTGTCGTCCTCATAGCAATGGAAAGATACGTTGTGGCGGCTGATGATCTGACCGAGCGGAAGCATATAAATAGAAAATAAAATTGGACCTAAAATTGAACCTTGCGGTACACCACAGGTAATCTGAGTTTTCGAGGATGTGTAATTACCTATGGTGACTGCAAAAGTTCTATCTAAAAGGTAAAGGTGTAAATAATTAATATTGAATGAATCAGTTGTTGGTGCTCTTGTGTCACTGGTGTTTTATCGTGTCACTGCTGTTACTGTGTGTATTTTCGGTCATGTGTAATCAAAAGTGTTCAAATTTTGCTTCATTCAAGAGTCAGGATGTTAAGGATAATGTTACTATCATTACATTTTTGTGACTGTCCTTCAAATATTGTTGTTTTGTTTTTCACAAACCTGATTAAAATAAATAAATGCAAAATCTCACTTTTTTTGTCAATATCATTATCCTTCTGTGCCTCTGAATATATGTGCAGAATAGTTTGAGAAATAATATTTCTAAAAATCCTTAAATATTAAATAAGTTATGAGGCAACAAAAGATGGCACATGCATTGTTTAAAAGTAAATGTACAATAAAAATAAAAATTGATTCTCATTTATATGGATTCATAAAGCCAAAGGCGGTGACATCATCAAGTTCGCTGCTGTTCCAAAAGCAGAAATGACTGTAGTCCGAACTGCTGAACTCGAGTAGAGAAACGCCTACAGTGTGTGTGTGTGTGTGTGTGTGTGTGTGTGTGTGTGTGTGTGGTGGTCAGGGGTTGGGTGGCGGAGTCTCCGCCCCTTTATAGATTGAGGCTTTTCACATTCCACTCGCGCACAGTCAGAGGAGTTTACTGACGGCGACCGCTGCAAACTCACGGGTGAGTTACATCAAGTTAAATCTCTTTCAAGAAGCTAGAAATATTAAATCACCTCATTATGTGCATCCGTTCTTTTTTTTTTTTTGCAAGTTGCACAAGTGTCCCGAGTCTTTGCTTTGAAGTCATGTGCAGTTAAAGGCGTTTGGGAGTCTGATGATTTTGCCACAGCCTCCATTTGGCATCGACTTAACCAGAGGAGGAAACTTTTATGTGGGAGCTATTATAATTATGAAAACAATCAATTATACTGTAAAGGTGTCTGTTAGAGATCATAACAGACATGGACTGTGTTTAACTTGAGTTTATGATGTGTGCACATAACAGACTGAGAGACCATGACTGAGGAAACAGCCAGAGGGGATCCTGCTGGAGGCTCGGGGCCATATACAGGGGCGACTGAGGAAGGGGATCAGCCAAGGGGAAAATGGGCCAACAAAAGGGAGTCCTTGCTCGCCATGACTGGACTCATCATTGGCCTTGGGAATTTTTGGCGTTTCCCCTATCTGTGCTACAGGAACGGGGGAGGTGAGGGACCCAGATGGGATGTATGGAGGATTTTTGCTGGCTGTGATATAGAAGACATGGCTTATAAGGTTAAAATATGTGTGCATATGTTGAAGTGTCAAAAATCGGTGCCTGGAAGTAGGCCTGTAGGCTCCCGACCTTGAACCTCTTGTCTCTTGTCAGTTGTTCTCAGATGTCGATTTGGTACCTTAGGCTCAGCTGGCAAATACTTAAAGAAACACTGGAAACAGGCAAAGTCCGATGCAATCAAGTTTAATGTGTCAACAGGCTTTAACACATACAACTTAGCGAGTCAGACTCCGGAGTGTGACTAAAAACCTGCTCTCAGAACCCTGGCTTATATGCTGGTGGAGATTCAAATGAGTCTCCACCTCTTTTTGCTAATCTTTCCCTCTTAAGACCAATTCTATTGGTGGAGACCCTTTCTTTGTGTCCAATTCTGATTGGGCCCATTTTTAATGGTGTAATGCAGCCTGGAAGTTTTCTTCCCTTAGGTCTGGTCTCGCTTTCACTCTATTTTTAAAAAAACGTGTATTTTGGGGACTTTCTATACAGTCCTCAGTGCTCTCAGTCTTATGCAAGGTGAACCTTTAGAGTGCAATCTGTGAATGTGTGTATGTATTACAGCATTTGAGTATGTGTTTCATCGTTTAACAAGACACAGTGTGTTCTTTCAGTAGGTGCATACAACATGATTACATAGTCTGGTGCTATGGTGCTATGAGTACTTTGACACATACAGCAATGTTTTATCATATTTAAATGTAGATCAAAGAACTTTATAATGCCTTGTACATAAAAAAACATGATTATATAAGTTTCTTAATCAGTTTATACATCTTAACCTTACTGTTTGATTTGTTGGCACAAACTTTTACACTACAATGTGCATTTGCACGCCTGAACACATGTTTGCATGTGCATGTTCAACAAAAACAGGGATGGAAAACAATCAGATCATGAGAGTTTGATCATGTGAGAGGTGGAGAGGTTACAGCAAAAGTCATATGTCACTAATTTTAGCTTAATTCCCATCTCCAAAACTGTTGTTTTGCTCTATTTTTTCACCACTGGTCATGATCCTGTCTCACAGTTAGGGCTTGTGTCCACATAGTGTCCAGAAAAATGTGTAATCCCACTATAAGCTGTTTAATCATTTCTTTCATTCCACTTAGCTACTTACATAATCAGCCTTTAAAGCTGGGGTAGGCGGTTTTATTTTGGCATCATTAACCTCTCTATCTTCGCCAGGACGCCGACGTCCTCGCTCCCCCCCTCCTCTGTTAAATGGTATCTCCCAGGCGCACTACGTCATCAAACCATGTGATGTTTGGTATTGCCGGACTGAGGAAGCTCTCGACTTTTCAAAAATAACATCGTTTTTCTTTTATTTATTATGTATTTCAAACCAGAGCAGCCTAAACACTCAAAGTCAAAAATCGCGATGAGTGGTGACATGTCATGTCATGCCATTTTTCGACGGGAAAAGTTAAAGGATTACTCGAGACCTGTTTTATAAAAGGTAAGAGTCTCACTCCTGCCACTATTTTTGCCTGAGATATACTGCCTAGCAAGTGGGATCATAACTTTCACGTTTCATATGGCTTTATTTGGTGATATTTTATGTTGTTTCTGTGTCATAATCAACATCAGCTATCATAATCACACCTGATTTCAATATGGTACAATGTTTGAAGCTGGCTGAGTGTTGTTTGATCACTGATAGTACTGTTTTGAAGCCAAGTGACTGACTTATCATTTGGAGCTCTGCCTGGATCTTTTCATGGAAGAAACACTGTAGAATGGTCATACTTTGAGCAGTCTTCTTCAATTTTGAAACAAATGTTCATTCATAGTGTGCCTACAGCCCAACGGTGTCATTTACCTTCTCAGATGAAGCCACAGACAGTTATTCATCCTGAAACACATTTTTTATTTTATTTTAGGCAAAATCTTCAATTTTGTACTAACTTCAGAGGCTCATTACTCTGTCTCTGTATCACCTAGAGGGTTTCTGACACTTTCACAAGAAACTTAAGAGAGTTTTCTTTCTGGCAGGACCTCAAGCTACAGTCATTTTAATTTGGGTATGTCATTTTGGGTATTTTTGCTACAAAATGGGGGTGCAGTACAAGAGGTTAGACAAAAATCCCACAATTAACGCTGAGTATATTGCCACTCAAGTGGATTTAAAAAACTAGACTTCTGCACCTCCTGTTGTCTCCTTTCAGGCTTCATAAAATGGCATTGACAGGAGACTTTGGCCAATCACAGACCATTTCAGAGAGGTGTTCCTATTGGCTGTTGTATAAATGCAGATGCACGGACATGTCCCATCAGTGGCAGAGAATCCTGCAGCGAAAGTTGTTTTTCCAGCATTGGCTTCACCTCAAAACAACCCAATAATGGAGGACAGACATATAAAAAAGAGAGTCTAAAACAGAGTCTGACAATAAACTAAATAAAACACATGCCAAGCAATTCAGAGATGGAGAGAAATTGTTGCTAATAGTTTAGCTACAGAACACCTTACAGGGAGGAGAGTGGGCAGCAGGTCTGGAGATGGACCCCCGCTTTGCGCAAGCTGAGTCCAACCGGCACAAACCCCAGCTCCAGGTGGACAACAACCCTGACTCCCCTGCTGGATTGGCAAACTTTCTGTTGCTGCTGTTACGCAAACACCTGGTGCTGAGGGGTTTGTGCTTGATGAATTTGAGCTGCTCCAGCCTTGGTCAAGCTGTGCACACCTCTACAGTGAAATGAGATCAAATAAATCAATGTATGGGAAACACTGTGTTACTGTATGAAGCACGTGCACATGCCTGTGGTCATCTGGTGGGAGGGGCTTAGGAGGACAGAGAGGGTGGAGCTGCAGGAGGAGGGTGTTTTTTAAATTCCTGATTTCTGCCTACCCCAGCTTTAATATGTGGCATCCATGGCTTAATATGTGTTTATCTGTCAGCGTGCTTATTCTAGAAACCACTGCTTTACATCACAATGAAGTGACTCTTCTTCTTCACTGGTGTCTGTATTTACAGTTGCCTTCTTCATCCCTTACTTCCTGTGCCTCTTGTTTTGTGGCATCCCTGTGCTCTTCCTGGAGATGGCATTGGGCCAGTACACCAGCGAGGGTGGAGTGACCGTCTGGAAGAAGATATGTCCCATGTTCCAGGGTAAAAACAAGGCTTGGGCTGATTTTTGTAATAACTCAAGTTGACGTGCAGGAAATATGTATTTTTCATTGTGTTTTCTTCAGTGTGTCTTGATTTGTTAACGTTTCTAACCAGATTACCCAAAACAAAATGACCACATTAGCCTTTTTTATACATATCTTCTAGAAATGTTAAGGTGTTTTATTTCTGATAAATGTTTAAAAGCTAGTTTTAAAATATGATGCAGCGTTTTTTTAGTCCCTCCACAAAAGTTCTAGAGTGGTCAACCCTCAATTGTTAGCTGGGATAGGCTACAGCCGAGCCAGCCGAACACAGGTATGTGACGTGTCAGAGGAGACACGAGCCGTTCACGGCCCACAAACCTCACCGCACTTTAGGGACTGTTCTTTACTTGTCAGGGGAGGAGGGTGGCTGGTTGATTCTTATTTTATTTTTTTATTTTATTTTGATCCCCCTTATGTTAATCACTTATTGATGCTGTTTTTGAAGTATGAATAAGTCAATAAGTAATTTATTCCATTGAAATATCATTGATGTATTATAGAAAAGTGATTTATCTTTTCATAAATGACAAAAGGCACATCTGCCTCATTTTCTCTGTGGTATCGTGATACTACTCAGAACCATGATATTTTCATTGGTATCGTACAGTGGGTCCCAATATTGGTACCGTGACAACACTAAGCTGGAGGGGGTTCATCTGCAAAAACTAATGAAAAACTAAACAACAATAATATTTAGAACATAAAAGTAGCAGAGACTCCTGTCCCATCCCGCTCCCGTGTTGTGTTTTAGTTACAGTAAATAAAAAAAAACAAATACAGTACATGGATCACACAATGCCTACCTTAGTTGAATATAAACCCAAATATGACATCTAATGTTGTGTTTTGATGTTTATTGACTAATTATTTTTACATTCACTCCACCTTGAAGCTGTTCACAATGATAAACGGATTTGATTTCTGATGTGGTCAGACAACACGTCATAAGAACCAGTTCTGAGAAAAATGTAAAGTATTGCAAAAGTAGTGTTTGATTCCTCTGACTGATGTTATTATATATGACAGCATTAGACTATTAATACTGAAGCATCATTAGCTATGTTTCCATCCAAAAGTGATTCGAATCATTGGGAAATGCGCATTAAAAGAAATACGAATCCTGTGTGTTTCCATTAAATGTACGGACATCGGTGAAAACTACGAACTTGCGCGAGTTTTCTGCAGAACTGGAAACAAAACAAGTCTTGCATTCTTCTTCTTCTACGTTTTCTGGCGGTTGGCAACCAGCTTTTAAATGCATTACCGCCTTCCTGACACGGAGTGTGGATATCACCATGGAGAGAGGTGCGCTACATCAGACTTAATTCAAACATAACTGTTTCCATCCCCCATTTTGTGAATCAACATTTTTTCGAATCAACCAAAACCGATAATTTTCCGATAATTTTCCGATAATTTTCCGATGCGATACTTCTAGATGCGCATCTAAACAGGCTGATGGAAACATAGTTAGTGTTAGAGCAGCATGTTACTAGCCATGTTTCCATCACGTGACCCGTGGGACTCCCAAAAAAATGTCAGCCTCTAGTTCATATAGCTAATATTGTTAGCATGCTAGCTGTGTAACACATAAGGTGTTTCTCAATACCAAGTACGCCAAGTTTGGACTTGCGCACTTGGGAGTTCAGACTTGGCAAGTTCGACTCGGGAGTACAAACTCCCAAGGACGGCTGCCATTGCCGCTGGTCTGTGAGAAATGCATTCTGGGGTACCTGGCTGTCCAAAGTCCACACAAGTAAGGCAGAGCAAGTTCACATCCGGGCATTTGGACTGTACTTGGCTGGATGCGGACTTTGAATTGGAACAGTACTTGGGCTGCGACTGGTGACGTTTCACAAGAACACAAGTACAGTCAAGACGCAGATTGAGAAACGCTGATAGAGTGCATGTCAATTAACAAAATATTTCACAAAACTTGCAACACACCTGACATGCCAACTTCCTCACTTAATTGTTGCCAGGGATTACTGGTCCTGAATTTGTCTCTGTACTGCCCCATGCACAAATTACAAGAGTAGATGTCGAAAAACACTTAAAATGGATGCAGAGTTTCATGTGTGTCCCTCACATTGTTGAAATAGAACCTAGGCTCTTGACTGGGAGCCAAACAAGTATTGAGGAGCTGTAACTGTTGGAAGATGTTGTAACTATGTGAAATCTCGCTGTATCCTGCAGGGGTGGGGATTGCGTCCCAAGTGATTCTGGCCTATCTGAACATCTACTACATCGTCATCTTAGTCTGGGCTCTCATCTATCTGTATTACTCCTTTAAAAGCACGCTGCCCTGGTCGACGTGTGACAACTGGTGGAACACTGGTGAGGAATTCTTCTTCACATTTAAACATTTTTGAAGCATGCAACATCCATCTCACTTTCATCTCTCTTTCTTCAACCCCTTAGACGTATGTCAAAGTCGCGCCAGCTCCTATGCCAACCCCAATTTGTTTCAACCTGACTCCAACTGGTCATTCCTGCACAACGTCACCTTACTTGACTACTTTGACGAATTCAGTCCAGAGTAAGTTTTGTTCTTATTGTCAAGCTATACTTTATGAACTATCACAATTCTGAATTTTGTGAGATGTACTGAATAGATATCAGTAATTCATTGTTTTAATGTGATACATAAAAAGATTGATGAGATAATATGGGATTAGTCTTGGTTTCCATAACAGCTGTGGGTCACACCCATGCTTTCCTGTGCGTGTGTAGAGCAGCAAGTTCTCACATCTGTTTCTGTCATAAAAACCAACACTATTAATGGTTCCTTGGGAAAGTTTGAGGGTAAAAAGTACACTTAATAAATTTTAATAACTTCTCATGCAAGGTGGTGGCAAATGGTTGAAAAATATTGCACTGAATAACAGCTAGACAGTTTAGGAGATACTTATTTGTTGCAGAAAGATGGATGATAAGTTCAACACCAATCCCACAACGTGAATATGAAGCTCTGAGCGCAGCGCTCGGGCAGAAAATCCGAGCGGTGCGCGACGCCAAGGGTAGCGGTGCCGCTTTGTCAGGCATTGCCACCCTCTCCGTAGACAAACAATGGGACAGCCAGTGCAAAGCGGTTTTACAGCTGATCATGTGTAGAGGCCTCAAGGGAAACGTGAACACTGGTTGCAGATGTTGTGAATTCCTTTATGGTTTTGGATCATTTTCCTGCTGGAACATGTACGGTTGTGTTTTTAGAAGCTTATTTGGTGATTATTTTATTTATTTATTTATTTTTTTATGGTACAAAGTGCCCAGCAGCAAGTACACTGCTAATGTACATGTAGCTACATGCTAACGTCTGGCTATACACAAGTTGTACAGTCTGGGTTGCTGATGTTGTTAATTTCTCTCTGATTTTGGTTCATATTCCTGCTGGAATGTATTGCACTCAGAAGCTTTTATTGTGGATATTTTATGGTCGAATGTTCCACTGTTCCCTGTTACAGTCATTCCCCGCCAACAAGTACTCTGCTAATGTACATGTAGCTACAGATGTTGTCAGTGTTGTTAATTTTTCCCTGGTTTCAGATCATATTTCTGCTGGAACATCTCTTGTTGTGTTTAGAAGCTTTCATTGGGGATTTTTCAAGATATAATGTGCCGCTATTGTCTGTTGCGCCAAAAGCGACCTGTGGTGAGTTGCCATGTAACGTCTAACACCGTGTGCAGAACCTATTTTTCCTGTTAACGGAACTTTTCCCTAACGCATTCCCCACCCCCAGAACAACGTTGCGAGATTCCGTCGTTGAGGGACCTGGTCAGATGCGGGCGGCTAGCTAGCGTGCTGTCGGCGAGAGCTGTTAGCGAAGTCATCTAGCAGAAGAGCTAGCAATATCTTCCTGCGAAGAGCTCTCATGTTGACTATCACTGTACCAACTGATCTGAGACGAGTTGAGTAGTGTACTATTGAAAGAGCTGATAGGCGCGAAATGGGCTATGGAAATGAGCACAAAATTCGAAAATATAGATTAATTATCAACCACATAGAAATCAACCTATGGTCAACAATCACTTTTAATAGTGGAAAAAAAGCTTATGCTTATTTTTCTTTTGCATGAATAAATGAGATATTGTTTGCTAACAACTGCGATTGCAATTTATTTCCTATTTCTGGCACTGTAACGCTCCGTTTCTCCCATGTTGTCAACGCCCGAGTAGGAAAAATCCAACGCCTCCACGGTCCGATGGTCAACGGAACCACTGAAGTGCTGCACGCTAGTCCGTTACTATCCATCATTTTCACCTCCACTGGAATGAATGACTTCCGGTCAGCGCCAATCCGTCAATGCGTTAGGTTGTACACCTAGCTTCAGCTGCAAAAGACGCTGCAAGCTGCAGCAGTTAAAATCATGTATGACATTTATTTGTAGGCCAACACGGAAGTTAACATTGCCCTGGTTCCCATGACTATAAACAAATGGGATTTTTCCATTGAATTTTGGATTATTGCAGAAAATAAGCAATCTTGCCACCACAAAGGGGGGGGGGGTTGTTGAAGGTGGCAGTGCTGTTTGGATTGAGAAAGCCATGTGTAAGTAAGGTAAAGGATATTGTTGGGTTGGTGCGGGGAGCAGTGAGACCTGGCATTAGAGTGTCTCTGGGACGCCAGAGATCACTGTCTAGCCTCCTGGAGGTGTCGTGGGACCAACCAGACGAAACACTGGTGAAAGGAGGTTCCCACCCGATGACCCCAAAGACATGTTAGTTATCACTGCTCACTGGTTTGTATAGTTAAGCCTTGCCATAATAGCTTATCATAGGGCTTAGGAGGTTTTTCACTGAGTGCTAATCCTTTTCTAGAGCACAAACTTGTTGTGTTTATTTGAATTCAGCTGAGACGCTTTGCGCCTGGTTGCTATGATACAGAATATCTGTGGAAAAAAAAATGTCGGCACAAGGTAGAGAATGTGCTATAGATGAGGGAAAGGGTGAAGCATGCGGGGAGAGAGGACGGACCCGCCAGTCTGTATAGGTTCATGAGAGGAATCATAATACATAGAGGATATTAACAGATTTCTCCTCCATTGTTGTTGTTATTCAGCATTTGTACATGTAGGACGTGACAGTTTTTCTTTGAGGTATTTGTCCCTCCTGCACTGTGATTGAATAGCTGAAGTGACATTGACGAGTGCGGCGTTTTTATCCACAAACATTTTTCAGCTCTCAGTGCTCAAATGAAAATGCCCAACTGGCAGTGCTTGGCGCAGGATTCACGCCCAGTGCCTTGTTGCGCTGCTGGCGATTGTAGCGCAGTGTAAATATGTGACGTTCCTATTGCAAAGCATTAAAAACATATGCCAGCCTCAGAAAAAATTGCTTTAGTGGAGACGGCCTCTTAGCCACTTGTTAGCAACCGTCTTTTTGATGATACTGTAAGTGAACGGCTTCAAGATTCACAAGTGGAGTATTTACCAAGGTATTTCATCTAACTTAATAAAATGTAAAAGTGTCCTGACTGAGCTTGTGCTAACCATGGACCTTATGTCAGGAATCTAACCAAAAAAAAACAGTTTTAATTAACCCTTTGACTTTGAGATGAGGGAACCAGGAGTGATAAATGCGAACTCATTTCCCGGTTTGAGGACTCTTTCTTGCAGTACTTAATACCCGCAGCAAATCAGTAAACAGTCCTGTGATTGCTGTGACATGTTGACCTCCACATGAACATGCCTCCAAGCCACCAAAAAATGTAGCCTAATTGTTAGAGCAAGCTGCACTTCACTGCTGCTCTGTGTTTTTTCAGCACGACAGTCATTCTGCAGCTGTAATAACGGTGAAGAGACACCAAGATTAGGAAGACCTGGAGATGTTGACCAATTAGAGCAAACTGGGCTGAAAGAGACGGCCGTTAAACAGGGTGTTTCAGACAGAGGATGAATACAGGTGTTCCAGCACAGACAGTATGAGGAAAATAAAGTGTTTCTTGACCGTTAAAGCACATAAACATATTCTAATAGAAACCTTAAAAACAATATGAACCTGAAAATAAGCATAATAGGTCCTCTTTAAATCAATGGAGAAGCATGGTTTGGAAGTTAGATTTTAAGTCACTGTACTTACTTGCTTTTCTTGTTTTTTGTTTGTTTGTTTTTTCAATATTTCCAGGGTTGATAATGAGCAGAGAACATCGGAAATGGAGTTCTGGATGTGAGAAACACACACACACACACACTCATCTTCCTAAAACATGTAAAAAAAAAAGCTTTGACAGTAATATCATCCTCCCCAGCGTGCTTGTCCTTGGGTTGAACATTCCTCACCAATAGCTCTTAATGCCTTCCAGATAACAAAAGGTCATCCTTCCTGTCTGGGTGCTCAGTGAACGTCATGTTAATGATGGGAAAAAACAACATATTGTTTCATAGTTTGAGGATATTTTTTGAAAAATGGCTGCCGCCCTTCACGTGATAACCTCCTGATTTGCTGTGAGAACAGAACAGGAAATCGCCTGTGCTGCACGATGAGAACAATATGTGCTCTTTTCCCTGCAGACACTTTAATGTAAACTAAAGCCATCGAAGACAGCCATCTGTATTCATGATGCAGATGCTTGCTCTTTTTTCTGACAGTATGTCCACTGTCACATGGACGTCGGAACTATTTTCTGAGAGGGGGGGCGGGATTTTTGTTGGGAGGGGCGGGGGAAGCACGCACACTTATCAATGATTAAGGATTTGATTTGAAGTCATTTTATAATAACATGCAGTTATAAGAGAACTAGAATGGATGAACACGGCATCTTTATTGTTAAGAAAATGAAACTTTGATAACGAAATCAAGCCATTTAAGGAACATAACATTATTTGTAACCTTGAATGAAAAAAAGAAAAGTCTGCGCTCCTGACTCAGGGCTTTCATGCATTTCCAAAAGTGGACCTTCTCTCAGCTGACCTACTGATGAAGATTTTAAGCAGGGTCGAGACATCGCTTTCATCCATAAGGTCACTGTGAGCGTTAATAATGACCAAATGTGTTACCCCAAATGGGTTTTCAGCCTGCGCAAGGCTGAGAAAGAGCGCTCGGATGCCGCAACAGATATGGGCAGGGCCAGACAGAGCTTAATGACCTTCTCCACCTCCGACAGCATGGAGCGGGTTTGGGGCTGCAAGGTTTGCAGGATGGACACAACATCCTGGATGCCAAGGCTACTGTATGTAGTCAGGCAGGCTGCATATCACATCAGAAGCATAGATCTATGCATTAATGATATGAAAGAGATAAATGTAAGTCAGACAAATTGAGTTTAAATTCAGATTCTTTATTTTTTTAAAGCGTAAGGCAGTGGGTAGGGGGGCTGGGGTGCGGGGGTACGGATGGGAGCACCCCTAGTTCCGACGTCTATGCACTGTCAGGGTCTTACTTGGCGGCAAGATGGCTTCCAGTTCATTAATGACATAAGTGGTTGTTGTCCTGAGAACAACATTTTGTATGAGAGCCCTGGGACAACAACTGCCTCAGCCAAGCAACGTTGGTGAAGAAAGAGCCCTGCTACCAGTGCCCTGCAAAATACATACAAAATGGCTGTGCAGAGAGGCGCAAATTAAAATATGAGACCCAACCTGAAAGTATGACATTGGTTTACAATAGCCTGCTACTACGGACATTAAATATTTATTTGCTTATTATAGACTGTCAGTTTTTTGCCACCATGGAAATAAGCTCACGTTAGCTTCCAAAGGCTAGCTAACAGTTAGCCACTAGCTGTTAGTATTAACTCCATGATCATAAGAGAGTAGGCTACAGTCACATTAACTTTTATTCCCGTTCTTTAAAAAAAGAAAAGAAGAAAAGAAATAAGCCACTACAAGAATTATGTTCTTTGTTTGGATTGTCAAGGGGACAGTGAATCAGAGATGTTTGTTTCTGGCTGCTCGAGTTAGTGGGCTAGCTGTAGTGCGCTAGCGTTAGCGTCAGCGCGCTAGCCCGCCATCTGTAGCCTTAATTTTTTTCCAGGATTGTGCCTATAGTGACATAAAGTATTGTAAAATTAAAATGAGACTTATGGGGAGCCAATCTAAAGTGCATGATACGTTGGCTATTTTAAATAAGCATTAGGGGGAGTTATTAAGTTAAATGACCAAGCAATTGATAGGTTGAAAGCATTAACTAGCTAGCTAGCATGCTAGCAATTTAAAAAGTTGTTGACTTCCACTGTACTGCAAATGTAATCATTTTCATATTTAAAAGGCACAAGCAAAATATCGAGGGATACTCGTCATATGTCAACTCGCATTTTTTATATTACCATTTCATGTTGCACAGATACATTATATGGTATGTATTCCCCACAACTCACTTTAATTGCTGTTGGCAGGTATTTTGCCATGTCATGTTGCCCTAAAAAGTAACAACATATGTGTAATCAAGTCAAGATTAATTTGCAAGCTGATGTGAGCTTATTTCCATGGTGGCATGGTATCAATATTGGCTGAGGCAGTTGTCGCAGGGCTATCATACAAAATGTTGCTCTCAGGGCAACAACCACGTAGGATGTGCATTGTAGTGGGCTGTGTTTATTGGCAGTGGGAAACAAAGTATGGTGTATATATTGCACATCTGTACATCCATTCTGCATGTTAATAGCAGAGGATCCAGGTGTATTCATGTGTTAACTTTTCTGATCCCTCCCTGACAGGTACCGAGTGTTAAGGGTTTCAAATGACATGACCCTGGGTCCGGTAAACCGGGACTTGGCTGTGTGTCTCCTGCTTGCCTGGATTGTATGTTACTTCTGCATCTTTAGAGGAATCAAATCTGCAGGAAAGGCGAGTATTCCTTTGACATACACACAGTACTGTCCCTTGTATTATGTTGCATACATATGGCTTCCTCAGCTCATGTCCCAACTTTCCTAACTACCTTCACTCCTGTGATTGACCAAGATGTTATAAATGAACATCAATAAGTGATGTTATCTGTGTCATCAGTGCACATTCAGATTTAATCCTTAAGATTTTAATTTAGAATTTAATTAAAGTATTTATAGTCAGTATTGTTTCAGTAATAGCCATTCAGTGCACGTATTGCCTCTCTATATACTATAATAATCTGCAGTCTGTCCCACCTGGGATTTAAATTCTTTAACCAAGCTCCAGAGATTCAGGGGAAATGATGCTTGCACCAAATCTTTGACATGGTGTGGAAGACAAATGCCTGGGCGTGCACATTTTTTAACCAATGACTGTATATGAAGATGGACAACGCCGCTCTACTTCCTTCCATTGTACAAAAATGTTGCCAAAATATCCCGGATACAGCTGCCGCCTTTTTGCGCTGGTGATACCATTAGAGAGTCCCCATCCATTGAGTTTCCACCCATACACCCTTGATTGCGAGCACACAGATTGCTACACACTGCTGTCAATATGGACGTCAAACAACCTTTTCATAGCTTTAAGTATCTGATAAAAACCAAACTTACCAGGAAAAACAAACACTTGAACATGCACAGTGTGATAAGAACTACCTAAAATGACAGAAACCATCTTTTGGAAAAAATAATGTGACGTGTACTTTGGTTTTTAGTTTCTCTCATGTCCTATTAGCTAACATGAAGGGGGTGAGTTTTATGACCTATACTGCAGCCAGCAACCAGGAGGGATTGAAATGTTCTTGCTTCATTTTTGGGTAGCTGTCATGTCGTCCATCTTTTATATAATGTGCGATTTTGACATGCATATTAAATCTCTATGGAGTGTTTCAGCATTTTTCAGAATGGCAGACAGACAAAGTTAGCGACTAGCTGGTTAACACAGAAGAGCAATTAGCAGGTGATGATCGAGAAATATCCCACAGGAGTTGGTGGATACCAAAAACAGAGCTAAAAGGAGAGTGAATACTGGACTAACATTCACCAGGAGACCACAAACACAACTCCAGAAGGATGCTAATGTTGCTCTATGTCCACTGGACGTGTAAAATGACTAATTGTATGCATGTTTTTGTGTCTGTAGGTAGTTTATGTCACTGCTACAGTGCCCTACCTTTTGCTGTTCATCCTCTTCATCCGTGGAGTGACACTCCCAGGAGCCGGAGATGGAATGAAACATTTCCTCTACCCTGAGCTCTTCAGGCTCGCAGGTCTACATGTAAGATGTCATTATGAAGTGTTCATTACAATGGGCATCATTCACCAACCCTTCCAAAGAAGAAATGTCTCTTTAAAACCTACTTACAACATTTTCACAAAGACTTACATTCACCATTATTTCCTTTTTTGGATTCATTTGTATGTATGTATGAACTGAATCTTTGTGCACTAAAGAGCACATGTGCGCACATTTTGTGCTGACATGTTTTAAACTCAATCCCACAGTTGTATAATATTACAGAATTTTAATTACAGTAATTTCTTTTAATCATTTATAAATGTTCTTACCTATCTAATAGGGGTGAGAATAACCAGAGGATCCAAGATACAATATTATCATGATACTTAAGTCAAGATACAATATTATTGTAATTTTATTTATATTTTAATATTTATTTAATATTCATATTCTATATTGTTTTCAACTGTAAATTATATCCCAGAAGGACGACTGTCAATATCTGTTTTATCTAATAAGATAAAGTTTTCAGTCTGTTCAGCTCATTTCAGCCATTTTTTTGCAGCAGCAAAATAAAATGATTATATTATTCTACTAGGCTACCTAAAGTTTAATTTGTAGTATTAATCATTTATATGATAACAAAAATCAATACTTGGGACTGTGTGACAATACAATATTGCCACACAAAAATATCGCAATACTATATCGAAACAATTTTTTTCCCCTCCCCTACAGTTCCTAATAATTTTCAGTTTTTCACAAAACATTATGCGTGTCAAAAAGTGACAAAGCAGCATTACAACTAAGTTAAACAATAACAAACAGAAACACTGTGTGAAATAGTCCACCTTCCACCTTCTCTCCCCCTCTCTCTGTCTTTCTCTCTCGCCCTCAGGCGTTCTGAAAGTATAAAAGGCGTGACGGGGGTGACATGTAACACAACAGTGTCTGCCTCTGCCATGACATATGACAGACATATGACACATGTCAGCAGCACCTTCTAAACATAACATGGCAGTAACAATTGTAGTGAGTAGCCTTATACTTTTGCCGCTACTGATTGCTAATTGGCTGAATTGTTTGGACGTGTACTCAGAAACTACTCAAAATCTTTACCAATGCTGAATATCTTCATATATTTATTTTCTCCCTTGTGTCCGAAATGTTTGTATGACTTCCAAAAAGTTTCAATACAAACTCCCAATAAATGCAGCCAAAATAAATCTTGATCTCTGATCTAAAACTGCTTGCTTCCTAACATCAGCAACACCTGTGCTTACTGGGAAGAACTTAAATACCATGGCCTGCCACAACCAGTGAGGTAAGCCACCTAGTGGCGGGGTGGGATAATATATTTAACACAAATCAGACATATGGCTCAGTCATCAATCATTTGGCAGTTGATCTCAGCATCTGCTTGGAGGGTAAGGAGCTCCCGGACCTCATGGTTTTCCCAATTTGCCGACATTTTTGGCCGCTTTTCTTCTTTGAGTTAGCTGCTAACTGCTGCTAGCTGCTTTTTGTGATGATGTTATATATTATCAAAATGTCACACCCATCCTGTCCTGCCAGCTGTCCCTTTTATACAGGTATATTGCGATTGTTCTTTTTATACAGAAAGGCGAGATGGAATAACTACATCACATTTCTGCTTTAAACAGGCCGTGTAAAATGGGCTCCTCTTTCTCAGATGCACGCACTCACCTCAAGAGCAGGGGTGTCAAACATATGGCTCGCATCCAATCTGGCCCGCTCAGTGACTGCTAAGCGTAACAAATGCAGAGAAGTCATTAAAGGAAAAGGCCACTTTAGAATGAAAATACAGACAGTACTTACTGACCCTCATGTCGTCAAGAAGTCAGTGTAGTTTTTTAATCCACAAAACTCGTTTGGGGTATCGGAGGATAACAGCCAGCCACATTTTGAAAATGTTATAAACCTCCGCTAATGCATTTCAAAAACGTCAGAACAGCTCGTCCGTCGTAATCCAAGTGCCCTGAAGCCACAGCGTGCATAATTGACTTGAAAAGACGTAATTTACTCCACTTTTATAGCATCATTTCTCACCGTGGTCAGTTAACCTGCGGGCGTGCTGTGTTTACATGGCAACTCGTGCGAGAGTCGAGAACTAGCACCACCGCTAGCCATCAGCTAGTCTCGCGCGAGACTTTTGAAATGCATTAGCGGAGTTTTATTACATTTTCAAAATGTGGGTTCTGTGCACTTCAAGTGTATGGAAAAATCTGGCTAGCTGTTATCCTCCGATACCCTGAACAAGTTTTGTGGAAAAAACTACACTGGACTTCTTGTCAGCATGAGGGTGAGTAAGTACTGTCTGTATTTTCATTCTAAAGTGGCCATTTCCATAAGTCAGACTACAATCAATAAGTCTGATTGTAGTTTTAGCAAAGAGATTTAAGCATCTCATGCATCTTTTTTGTGAAATTTTCTATCCACTACTTGCTACCAATACATTTTATTAAATGCAATATTACAAACATGATGCATAGTACAGTCTGTCCTGCACAGTACTGTCTTTCCTAAAGTGAACATGTGCAGAAAGAGTCATTACAACAATCAAAGCGTTGGCTTCACAACCAATCAGAGCATTATCTGTCTCTTTATATCTCAGTACTTCTCTGTCCCAACATGAAGACAGTGTGCTGTTATTTTCTTCCCCCCTCCCTTTCTCCTTGCCTTAAATCTTGTTTCCTGTCCCAAGACAGTCTTAACAAGAAAAGCAAACCAAGGTCCTTTCTTTCAGCTTCCCCCCTCGAGTATACAGTAACATCATCACAGAGGAGTAAAAACAGTCTCTGTCCGTGGGGAATTCTGAACACATTTTGAAGTGAATTTATATAAAGTCAAGATAACTTCCTTTCAGCTGAAACTGAAGTCAGTAATTTACCATCTTTTCAAATGATGGATTTTACTTACACAGGAATTGGCACACTGTATAACATCCTTTTAATTCCTTAACTGAGGAATTCTGGATGCATGCTTCCACACAATGACAGCCTCTGTTTCTGCCAGCAACCTGACCATAGAAAAGAACTCTGCCTCCCATTAAATAGGTTGTCACCCCTCTCCCTTCCCCTCCCCCTGCTTCCATGTCTGTAGGGGTCAGATGTAATTAGACAGTGAACCCTCAGACAGCCAGTGGAGTGCCTCTTCCTCTTCTTCTGTGGGCATGTGGATGTTTGCATGAACATTCCTGCAAGTGGTGAATTGATTTCTGCTTTTGCTTCTGCTTTTCTAGTCTTTGTCACGCAACTCAGTCGAAGGGTCTAATCATCTCACTTTTTTCTGTCAGAGTTAGAAGACAAAATGTGGCTTCCCTTGTCTACTCGTCTGCTCACACAGCTGTGAACTATGGTGGGAATCCTAGCATGTTAAGGGGAGGAAGCAAAGGGACAACTGCAGGAATGTTATCTGGTGTAATGTCAAAAGCAGGTGAAAGCAATTATGGGTCAGACTTATGCAATGCCACATGTTCTTAAGAACACATCTGTTTCAAATGAGTTGCACTCTTGCATGCAAATTGTTTTTGCTTGAGCCACAGAGGAAGTCATAACCGAGTTGTGGGGTCTGTTTCATGCGTGAATGTTTCTCCTTTTGCACATGTGACTCTGAAACACAACAGTTTTGTCTTTGGTGTTGGATGTAAAGATTCTTTGCGACAGACTGAGGTTTATACATGATCGGCCCGTTCTCACTCCCCACTTGTCAAATATCACTGGACCTGGGCGTCAGGTTGGAGGTGAGGTGGATGAGTCAAACAAACTCTGGACTTTCGCCATTTTTTTCCTGTGTGAAACCAAAAGTCAGTTGAATTATTTTAATAACAACATAGTGCCAATTCTGGATCCCCACTTCAATCTTAAGCCCAAGGGATTTAAATTTTGGTGTCGAGACCAGTGGTTCCCAACTGGTGGGTCGCAGTCCAAAAGTGGGTTGTGGGTCCTTTCTTAATTAACTGCAAGCGACTCACGAACTGTCAAGTTTATGAAAGAAGAAGAAGAAAAAAACACTTTATTTTGAAGTACAATCAATTTCCGGCATAGAGATTTTATTTTAAAGTACCTTTTCCTGCCGTAGAATGAGAGACTAATAAACAGCTTCTTAACACCGACAGCAAACTAGCTCAACGACATTGCCAAAGGCAAGGGTGACGCTGAATATACTGAATAAACTGTGTGGACCTTGAACTAATGACTAAGGAGAAATCTGGACCAGTTGGGAACCACTAGTCCAGACCCTGATTTACTCGCTGATACTAGCTTTTGTAAGTTTGTATCTGAGTCAATCACACTCTTCTGCGACACCAACCAAAACAACAAGACCTCAATCGTGCACTGTGTAGTACCTTTATGGTAGGTTCAAAGGGGTTTATAGTTGCCTTTGCAAAATGTGCCAATAGAATGCTTCCACAAATGAGTTAGCATTTGAGTACTCCAGGCTCCCTCGTCTTGAAGTCAATAGGTTTTGGTTTGATGCCTGAAATAAGGTCTGTGGTCAACACAAGCTTAAGAGACTTTCATGTTTTGTTTGTTGTCAAGAACTTTGAAGTTTCTATGCGTCTTAAGAAAGGTTGTTGCCCAGAAGTGGGACTACACTGAGACTACAGATGCCGAACACGGCTTTACATTCTTGTTATGGTGGTGACATTAGGTCATGTGACCATAGTGTAGCTAGTTTATTGCTTTTCACTTCAGGCGATTTCATTTAGGCTTCAATGATTATAAAATTGAAAAGAGTATCTTACTGAACAAAACATGTAAGTATCACACGTCTTTTTGCCACAGAACTTATTTTCTTTTTGACAAGGGAACGAATGTGATGCTAACTTCCGCATCAGCCATCGGGGGCCCCTTTTCCCCAGATTTTTGGGAGCCCAAACATTTGCCTGGCTTGCTTCACCTGATGGTGTGCCCCTGGTAATACCTCAGATGCCGAACTTCTTAAATCTTGCCCCTGAACCTGTATTATAATAATAAAAAAAAGAAAACTAATAAAACTAACTTAAATCCAAACATTTAAAACAGTAATAACTAAACGGAAACAGGCAAAACCAAACTAAATGGAATTGAAAACAAAAATGAAAACCAGTGAAAAATACAAAATTGAAATGACTCTGTCTTTTACCCACTCGAGGCTTGGTGTGATGCCTTGTCAGAGGTGCTGTCGTCCTACTCCGTGTGTCTGGGAGTGGTGACCGCTCTGGGGAGCTACAACAAATACAACAACAACTGCTACAGGTCAGTGTCCTCACACACAGCACATGTAGTTTAACATCCATGTGCTCTCTGACGGTGCAGGCTTTTGTTCTTGGTGTGTTGTAGGGATTGCTTGGTACTATGTTGCCTGAACACTGGCACCAGTATCTTTGCTGGTCTGGCTGTGTTCTCGGTGCTGGGATTCATGGCTCATGACATGGGCGTGCCCTTACACGATGTTGTGAGTGCCGGTGAGTTCATTTTTCCCTTTTCAGCTTCTGCATCTTTAATTTGACTGCTTTCAATATTATTTTGGAAATATTTTGAAACAGTTGCAGTATTTTTTTTATATGTTGTTGAGCATCAATTTGTAATTATTTTCAATATCTATCAATCTGCCAGTTCTTTTTTTTTTTTTTTTTAAACATGAGCAGAGATACTGGATGAAGGGAGATACCCAACTGCTTATCCAATGTTAAGAAAACAGTTACTCTTCCTGTCTCCTAAGTGGGCGTGGTTAGCTCTCCCTCCAATCAGAGCCTGTTCTCCCTCAAACCCTCAATGTTGGTAAGATGTGTGGCTTGTGGAAAATGAACCCAATTTTTACTTTAGTGACTATAGGGCGAAAGAATTGACCATAAATTGTGATCACGTTCATTTTCCTCATTGACGACAATACATTCAGAGCTGCCGCAAGTCTCCTACGGGGGCGTGGCGCTGACGTCACTGAATCAGGAAGTGAGCTGAGTTGGGTATCTCGCTTCATCCAATATCTCTGACATGAGTTTCTGGTTAAAGCAATATGTTCAATTATTGTGCAATAACATGAAACATTTTACACTGTAACAAGATAAATACACCTTACAAAGGCTGTAACCTTTGATGAGAAGCTCAGAGGTCACTTTGAGGGGTCACAAGCCAGACAGGTTAGAAACTGCTGTGTCAAAGGACTTGGTCTGCTGGTCTTAAAGATTACAACATGCTCTCATGTGTTCATAGATGCATTATGTGCTTTCCACAGGTCCTGGTCTGGTCTTTCAAGCCTTTCCAAAGGCTCTGTCGATGCTGCCTGGCGCATCCTTCTGGTGTGTGCTATTCTTCCTCATGATCCTCTTCCTGGCCCTGGACGCTCAGGTATTGTATTGAAGGCATCATGTGTAGTGTTTCAGCATCATGTTGTTCTCACAAATAAGCTTATCTGTTTCTGTCCTCATAGTTTTTGTGTGTGGAGAGCCTGGTCACAGCCATCGCAGACTTGTTCCCACGTCACCTGAGGAAGCCACGCGGCAGATCAATACTGGTCCTGGTCGTCTGTGTGGTCTGTTTTCTACTGGGGCTGCCACACATCACTCAGGTGAGCAGCAGAGAGAATAAAGGGGTGTTTGATGTAAATGTGAAAGATAATTGTAATAATCATTGGCTGTGTCAGTCGTGAAGATCAACTTTACTGTCAGGTGATAACGTGTAGAAAAACATCTGCAGAGCTGGGGCTAGATATCACATCAATATACTATTTTAATTGACAATTCAGATGTTCTTCACAGGAAGAATGAATAACTTTGATACTCGTTACCTGAAAAAAGATGAAGGGAAACTTTGCTGATATTGAACCAGCTGTGTGGCATCGCAGTGTGTGCAGATGAACGTTGTTTGACTTCCCCCGGAGATTCCTGCCCGTCCGGCGGCAGAGGTCCGTTCATCTTTATATTCATTGTCTTGTGAGGCGATCAGCAGTGATGTGGTGGGTCACTTTGACACTGTGATCTGTAGCCTATAGTTCGGCTTTAGCTTTCTGATGTGTGACAGATACTGGAAAGTCTGCTACTGGTGTCACTGACACACAGGAAATAGCTCCAAAGGGAAAGATAAAGTCCCAACAGTTGAGGCATCTGCAGACAATGCTACGCTGTAGTGAATATATGAGACCAAATGTTCCTTATGATGCGTTATACATGAAGATATGATTTACTGTATACGTAACGAGATCTAGCCTCCCCATTACCCTTATTCTAACCTTAACCACCTCTCTTTTTATGTAATCCTTCATAGTTAACTTTAGCTAATCGTTAACTTAGCATTAGCAGCAGTAACACGTGGTAGCCTTCCCATTATCCTTACCTTAACCACTAGTCAGTTTTTCTGCTCGTGTTTCAGGGAGGGATAATCGTCTTCCATCTGCTGGACCACTTCGGTGCTAGTGGAAACAGCATGCTCTTCATTGTCTGTTTCGAGACCACTGTCATCGCCTGGGTGTATGGTAAGTCACGCCACTGGCTGATATAATAATTTCAAATTAGGGCTGCTCGATTACGGAAAAAAATCATAATCACGGTTATTTTGGTCAAAATTGAAATCACGATTATGCAGCGCACGTGGTATCTTATATTGTTTACACAACGGCATTTCATTTCTGTCTCTACATGGTCGCACGTTTTTAATTCTCCTCTGCTCTCTGTATTGCGCATGGCCCCAATGTGCGCGCACACACACACACACATATAGACCAACCTCTCTCGCTCTCCCTCTGCCATTTTCTGCATGCTGTTTTTGAAATCTTCCGCGTTCACCTGCCCCTCGCATTATTCGTAGTTCACCTACTTGACTGGCTCGTGGAGTGAATGGAGGAGAGGAGGGGAGGGGGCGGTGTTGCGCATGCGCGGCTTCTGTAGAAGACAAAATAACATCTCCAGGTGTCTGTGACCAATAATCGTTTACCCTCGATTTCATTAATTTTGAAATTGTTTGACCTCAAAATCGTAAACGTGATCACCAGACGATTAATTGCACAGCCTTACTTAATATTGTTTCATTATGCCGCTTCAGTGTGTGATTTTAGACAGCATGCCACCATCACGGAATCAAAAGACGGGTATTTATCTAACACACAGTCTTTTTTGAGTTAGCTGCTAACTGTTACCACCTAATTTTAAGTCCCCCGCGGTGGGTTGCATGCATAACACGTCGTCGAAATGTCAAACCTGTGCCGCCTATGATTCCGTCCTGCCGGCTGTCCTATTTATACAAGTCATTTTGGCGCTGTGACTGCCTCCAGTGCTGGCCTAAAGGCAAGACAGCTCTGTCCCCCCAGTCTGCAGTCGCACCTTTTATACATGGTTCAGACAGATTTTTGTACAGTGCTGGCACAGCGCTAAAACAAAATTTGAAGGTAGGATTGGTTATGGGAGACTAATGACTGACTAATACCTCCCATCCATGGCTTTGCAGGTGCGGACCGTTTCTATGACAACATTGAGGACATGATCGGGTACAAACCATTCCCCGTGCTGAAGTACTGCTGGTTGTTCATCACGCCGCTCCTCTGTTGTGTGAGATACACCTGCGACTTGATTCATCAACTTTCATGTCTGTTTCCTCTCATGGTTTCAGATCTTTTGCTGCCTCTATCGTTTCCTCTTCCTGTTCGCCTCTCTCCCGGCCTTTCTATCTGAGAGTTTATTTGATTTTACAACATCAGTAGTTATACTCACACGGGAAAGAAGAGGTGAGACTGCTGCTTTTATCTCAAAATGTGGACTCATCTTTTTTTTAAACACACTTTACTACATGATCAGTGCAAGACCAGAGAGAATACACCAATCAGCCACAACACTGAAACCACTGACAGGTGAAGTGAATAACATCGATCAGTGCTGCTGGGAAACCCTGGGTCCTGGCATTCATATGGACACCACGTGACCCGCAGCACCCACCTAAACACCTTTGCAGATCAAGTACACTCCTTCATGGAGTGTGTATTTTCGGAGAAACAGGATTTCAGAGCAGTGAGCAGTGGGCTGTCAGAGAAATGTGCTTTTGGTCCAGTGGGATATTTTTCGAACGACGGGTGCATTCCCACCTGCCCTGTTTGGTTCGGTACAATCAAACTCAAGTTTGTTTGCCCCTAAGTGTGGTTCGTTTGGGCAGGTGTGAACACAGTAACCACATTCAGGTGGGCCCCAAACAACCAGAGAGACATTCTTGAAGAGGTGGTCTCGGTCCGGTTACAAACAAACTCTGGTGCAGCTCGTTTGTGGTGAGAACGTGTTCCGATCTCGATCTGAACCAACTGCAGTCACATTGCACACATTGCAGTCAGTACGTTTACATGCACGCAGTAAGCTAAGCTCACAGCTCGACTAATCAGTCAAGTTGGACTTCTCCTCTTGTCTTGAGTATACATGCAGAAGAGAAAATCGAATTTCTGACCAAGTACGTCTGACTACGCCTTGATAGGCAGCGCTGTGTCCTTTTAAATATAGTGCGTATTGAACTAGTTCCAGTTCTTGTTCAGAAACTTTTTAAAATAAATCCGTGTTTCGCATTTTCCTACCATCCATAAACTTGAAAATGTTTAGCCCCTTTAGCTGTCAGAGCATGAATGTAGTTTCCTCATCCGTCCAGAAGTGCCTCTTCTGCTTCTCGGCGCCATGGTGTTTGTTTGTTTTTCTGGAAGTTACTGCACTGCTATATGCTGAAGTGCTGCTACATCATCTCCTTCGTCTTCCGGGTGAAAGCCGGTGAAAGAAAAAGTGGTGTATCCACAGAACACCGAGTCCAACTCCAGTCGGACTGAGTGGATACATGCAGCAATAGTTCGATTTTCAATCGGATTATCTAGGTGCGTTAGTCGAGCTACGGATAGTCCGGTTACAGTCGGACTAAGCTGTTTACATGCTTTTAAAAGTCCAGTTACAGTCGGACTAAGCCAATAATTCGATTTTCTCAAGCTGCATGTAAACGTACTGATTGCTTGGGTTAAACATGAGCATGTTACAGTCCTGGAGGATTATTAATGTGCACCTCCTCCTGTACTGCCTTAATATGCACATTCAGCACATCCAATGCATCAAAACATTGTTTTCTAGTTGGAGCCGCGCCTCGTTTTCAAACTGTATGGTTTGACTAAAATGAACAATGACAGCAATATAGTCCACGATGAGCAGCTCTAAAATCAACCTGCGTAGTTGTCCCTCCATTGTGACATTAGAAAGTAGGGTTGTCAAAAGTATCGATACTCTGAAAAGTATTGATACTCAAACGCTGTATCCGGATACAATACTAATTTACAAAAGTATTGATACTAATAGTGCACGCCACCTCAGCGCCTGTCGGGTGAGCGTGACTGGTCCGATGGACACGTGCTGTGCAGGCAGCGTCTGGCAGGCACAGAGCCCTTGCTGCAACCTGGCTTGTTGCCGTCGCTGTGCATGCATGCACACAGTTCTGTTGCTGTAATATGGCCAGCGCGGCTGCAGGAGGATCAGAGCAGCCAGTTTTGGTCAAAAATGATAAAGGAAAAAGCGCTCTTTGGAAATATTTAGTGAAGCGAACACAGCACGCTGCAGACTGCAGGTACAGCCCAGCTGAGCAGCTGGTGTTGCCAGCATCAAACTAAAATATAACTTCTAATGTTAATGTGGGAGCTAAGCAGAAAACTTTATCAGTCATGCCCATCTGTAACATTAATAGACAATGTTAGTTTAACAGGACAACACAATTATGTGTTTCTGAAAAGTTATGTTAACTGTAAAGTCACAGATTGAAGCTGAAAAAACGTTTGGTTTCTCCCGTAACCCCTGGTTCTCTGATCACATAGTGAGGTAGAAACAGGAGCATCCTGAGCCTAAACTACCAACTCTATTTGATCAGCAACGAAAATATGGTGCCAATTCACCAGAAGTACAGAAAATAAACAGGGCTGAAAATAAATACATTTGTATGGACAGATCTTGTTTCTGGTTGTTATTTATTTTGGGGGGATTTTTTGTTATCATTGATGTTACTGTTCTGGTCTTTATTTAAAAAATGACATGCCTCTTAATTTTTTGCTGCTGTATCGAAAATGGTATCGAGTATTGAATATTTTCTTGGGTATCGATATCGAGTTTGAAATTTTAGTATCGTGACAACCCTATTAGAAAGTGTCACATTTATCTCGCAAGTGTACTCTTCTTCAACGTTTTGTTTACTTCCTGGATTTTTCCCACATGGAAATCCTGACCAATCAAGAGCAGCTTTCTCGCACAAGATATTTTATCTGGTCCGCTTGTAAATGCTGCTGTGAGAACATGAACCAACTCTAGGCAATTATACAACTTTGTAACAAATTAGTCCCTGATTCAGACCAAAGCAAGACAACTCTAGGTCTGAAATCACCTAATAGTATATCAGAAATTTGGGCTGTCCAAACAATGGCATGGCACCTGGTCACCATATCATCTACATAAAGTGACAGTACGATGATGTGTATACATTTTGTACTGCCGCCTCCAAGTCGCCAATAAGTAATGGTGCTGTTTGTATTCTGACAACATATTTTGGAAAGTTGTTGCTGTACAGCATTTAAAACATGGAAAACTGTGCTGCCCCAGACACAACCAGTGAAGTTAGGAGAAGTTATTTATAAAGTTGTAAAATGATATAACAAAAACATACCGAACAGCTTTGCAAGTTGGACAATAGTTTGTTAATTTTATGTGCCTATTTACCTGATTGAGTCTCCATCATTTGGTTCAAGTGTAATTTAACAAAGAGAATTAGATTTTATTCACTTAGAGCTTTTATTCTACTTCTTTCTATTGGTTGTTTTTTTTTCTTGCACCATTGAGCACACCACAGCGAAGCCCCTTAACTTGAACATTTCTTGTCCCCCAGGTCAACCTGTCTTACAACATGACAATCAGATTCCCTCTCATTGTGTATGATTTTTATCCTGGCATCGGGGGCACCATTGTCAGTGCACTACTTCTCGTCACTCCACTGATGTGCATCCCAGTATTCCTCTTTATCACGCTCTGTAAGGTGGGTGAGATTCAAAGTTGTATTTGGTCAGTTTCAATTAGAATTCCCTTATCTTTTTTTCAGCACTTCACTGTGATGGATGCTTTACTATGTCTCATAAAATTAAGTTTCAGTTGCGTTTCCCTCCTACCAATCAGACTCCTGAAAACATGACCACATCATCCAAAGATCTGCGTCAGGCTCGACCCCACAATCCAATTCTCACACTGTGTAAATGCGTCATCTTCAAGGCAAACGCGAAGCCAAACAGGCACGTGGAGGAAAACGACGAGAAGATGATGATGGGGGAACCCAGCACGGCTTAATGGTCACTGATGAACAGACCTGCAGCTAGTTATGGTTGTCATCATAAAATTGTACAAATCTGTGAAAACAGAATGCAAACTTTTATAAATGTTTACACGTTTTATGAGTTTTCAGGGACATCCTGTTTTTGTTCTTTTTTTTTATAATAAATAATAATACTGGAAAAGTACCATATAGTGTACATTTCTTCTATCAACCTATAATCCTATGTTCTCTAAGTGGTTTACAAAAGTGCCTCACGACTAGGTGCAAACCATTATCCTCAGTGGAAACGAAGCTTTTATTTACTTTATTTCACAGATTAGAAACAATAAACTGTGAAGACAATTAAGCCTCAAAAAAATAGCATTTTAAGGCTTGTGTGTGATTTATCCTGGCTTCATATGACGAGAGGAAATCTCTGCTCGTCGCTAGGCTAATTTATTCAATGTAAAATGCCATAGGCTTGTGCTAATAATGCTAGCATGTTGTATTTGTTTGGACAATGTGTTTAGTATAAGACAGTTGTTTTGTCAGTGAACCTTGTGAGCTGTAATGGAGCCAAATTTTGTAACATTACCTTTGTTAAATGTTGCTGTTTACCCTGTCTTCATATGAGTGGAGGAAAAGTCTGCTAGCTGCTAGGCTAATTTATACAATGTAAAATGCCTTAGGCTTGTGCTAATAACATTAGCATGTTGTATTTGTGGGGAAAATATGTCCAGATAAAGACAAGTGTTTGTCTGTGAATGCTGTGAGTTATAGTGAAGCTGATTTGTGTACTTGTGTTTGAAATTGGGGTGTACTTTGCATGAACTAAACTTTACAACATATCACAGAAACCCCGCCACCGACTAGTGATTTGGAGGTGTAACTGCAGAGTGACACAGACACAACACCGCATAAGTAGGGTCTGCCATGTGAGTATAAATCCCGCTTAAGCAGTTCATTCCTATGATATTGTGGGCAGGCTGTTCTCATGCAGTGTTTGTCCATAGAAAAAGTAATGCACCAGAATTCATATATAACCCATGTAATCTTAAAGCCTTTGATCAGGTGACCAATGCGCTAAAGCGAGGAAAGAAGTAGTATTAAGAACAAAAGTCTGCATAAGGAGGCAGGTTGGGGTGGTAGATGGATCAAACAAAGACAGGACTTTTCCCTTGGAGAATAAGTGTGAATGTCTTCTTGAAAAGAGGAATGGCTAATACAATGCGGGCTATGACTTATAAGCTATATATGTAATAGTTACAGTGGAATGAACAAACTTTACGTTGTTGCACATTCTCATTCATTCCTACTTACCTGTGTCACAGTGGACACTTCCGACCTGCCACACATGCCACTCTCTCAGGTAACCCAGTAAAGTTCCACTCACCTGCCACCTGTCCACACATCTCCTACTCCTGCCAGTCCACCACACACACCTCATCAAGCTAATACCCCTCACCTGTGGATCATTACCTCCTGCTAGCATAAAGACTCCTGCTTCACAGACTCTCCTTGCCAGACTGTGCTTCGCCATTCCAATGCAACACCTTCCAGCATTTATTCCTGAACTGCTTCCTTGTTGCTAACCTCGCCTGTCTCTGACTCTCCTGTTTCTTCTGCTCCCTGGTAAACCATTCCTAAGAGCTCTGCTTCTACGTTCCTGGTTGCCGTTTGCCTGTTCCCTGTGGCTGTTTGGAGAGACTGTCACCCAGCGTTCCATAGTGAGTTTACCTGTTCTGCTGCCTGTGATTTCCTGTGCTGTGGGTTACCTCGCCACTTGGCTGCACCATTCTGCTGTTGTGTTTGAAATTGACTTTGCCCTCCTTTTGACAGTTCACAGCAGGGACTGTAGGAGTCAAATGTGATCACCAGAGGGTGAACCCTCAGACAGCCAGTGGAGTGTCTCTTCCTCTTCTTCTGTGGGCATGAACATTCCTACAAGTTGTGAATTGATCTCTGGTGTTTGACTGGACTCCTGTGTTGCTCATTCAGATGTATCATGCAACTCAATCAAAGGGTCTGATTATCTTGCTTTTTCCTCTCAGAGTTAGAGGGCAACATATGGCAGTCAGTGTTAGAGTGTCTGCTCATACAGCTCTGAACCATGCTGGGAATGTTAGCATGTTAATCAGGAGAGGAAGCAAAGCAAACAACTGTGAGAATGTTGTCGAAAGCAGGTGAAAGCAGTTCAGATTCCACATGCTATTAAAAACAAATGGTTCAAATGTTTTTGCTTGAACCACAGAGGAAACCATAATCCAGTTCTGGCCCCCATCTGGGGTCTGTTCAATGTGTGAATGTGTCTCCTTTTGTTCATGTGTCAGTATGCGTGTGAAGAAGACTGCTGAATACATGCATTTTAAGAAACAACAGTTTCCCCTTTGTGTCAGATGTAAGGATTGTTTACCACAGAACGAGGCGTGACCTGAGGCTGGGAACAACTAAGACACACCATGGGGCCAGATTAGGGGCTGGTACAACTCTCTGGAGGGCCTGCCAGCTCTAAATGTTACAGGGTGAGACTGTCAGTACTTTAGTGCCTCTAATGCTAACCAGATGCTGTCAGAGCGAGGGTCGACTGACAGATATTCATGTCAACAAGCCCGCCTACACTCACAAAGCTGAATGGACATAAACATATGTGGTACACATCCACGCAGATAGAATTACACAGAAACAAAAAGAGGGAGATAAAATTCTGTGTAATGAGCACGTCAACCGGGTCCATGTCATTGGTTTGACAGCCCATTGGTTCGACATCCCATTAGTCTGACTGTCCGCGGTGCTGAACGGCTCACGGCGGGCGTATGGTGCGCCGTGACCGGCTTGAGGCGGAGCAGGCTCACAGCTTATGTTTGTCACTTTCTTTTTCATTTTAACCCACACAATGATCTTTCCCTGACCCTAACCAAGTGGTTTTTGTGCCTAAACCTAACCAGACCTTAACCACAGGGCATCATGATGATTTCGGAACGGACTTCGGAACAATGAGTTTAATATGGTCGGAACAATGGGATGTCAAACCAATGGGCAGTTCCCCGTCAACCAGTGGTGTAGTGGAGGGTATACGCAGGTATTGGGGTATAGCCACCTCTTTTTGTGGCTGCTTAAAGCATACCCACATATCAACCCGCATGTTAATGACATTAATGTAAATATTAAATGATATATTTTGGGCGGGGCAACACAATGGTTTGAGTTGAAGGTGTGAGAGAGAATAGTATCAGTAACATTGTTAAAACTGTGCTACATTACATAGAAACACAAAACCGTACTAATGAACCTTCATTAATATAGGCCTATATTTTATCTACAAGTGCACATCACACACTGAGCGAGCCGCCTGTTAATGACGCTGTCGGCTAATGGGCACGTAGCTACTTCCATGTTTCAGATGATACGTCATGTTTGTAGTCGACCAATGAAGATGAGTTTACATATCACCTTGGGTTCGTCCTTCACCTTCTCAAAATGATTCCACACTTTGGATTTCCTGCCCGACATGTTATTAACTAGCCTGTGGAATAAACGCAGGTACCAGCCCTGGAAATTAGGGGTCGCCTCTTCCTGTGTCTGGATATATGTTTGCATATGTTTGACATTTCTTATTTAAAAAGATATTAAACTAACTGTTCAATCATCAAAACAGTAATGCAATGTGGCTTTAATTCTTGCAGTGATAATAACAACCAACAGTGCCCACAAGATGGCATGTTTTGGTCACACACAGTGAAAAGATTTTTTTTTTAGTGTGGTCAAAGGTCAAAGGTCATGATCAGTGTGACCTCATCAATAACAAAGGGTGCATTTCTTGTGCATAATTTTCTTCTGCTTACAACAATTCATGCTGCTTAAATGAGGCAGGCCTGTTTTGCAATAGATAGTGTAAACACTGCAATACATGAGGACACTCCCATCGTTTCCTCAAACTTTGCTCAGTCAGCAAGGGGACTTCACTGACTGCGCCCGCACTGATCACAAGATCACTGGTGAGTCACATGTATTTAAAATCCTTTCATTATATTCAGCTGTTTTTTGTCTAACTATTAGGAGAAGTATGACACTAAAAAGAACATAACAGACATGGACTATGTTTAACTTGTACTTATGATGTGTGACAGACTGAGAGCCCATGACTGAGGAAACAGCTAGAGGGGATCCTGCTGGAGGCTCTGGGCCAGATACAGGGGCGACTGAGAAAGGGGATGAGCCGAGAGGGAAATGGGCCAACAAATGGGAGTTCATCCTCGCCATGACTGGACAGATGATTAACCTCAGGACTACTTGGCGTTTCCCCTTTGTCTGCTACAGAAATGGAGGAGGTCAGCGACCGGATGGGTCGTTTGGGGGATTATTCTGGCTGTGATATAGAATATATGCTGAAGTTGAAGCTAGTTATATAATCTACATTTAAAGCTGTGGTAGGCAGTTTTTATTTTGGTGTCACTAGACATAAATCCTATGAAAGGGGACGGCAACCTTAGGGACACCTGCCACCACTGGCACACTGTAACCAAACGAAAGACACACCAGCAATTATTATGGAAGACAGTGTTTCAGAATTTTACTAAGCAGGGTTTCCTGCATATTCATTTATTCGTGGCATTCCATTACGATAACATCATCTGTCACCATGTATTAATTTTCTGTATTTGGAGCTGGACAGTTCATTAGGAGCATTGTTGGAATATATAAAGTCTACTGTTCGGTTATTCATTGTACGTGGACCTGTAGTTGATTCAAGACACACATTAAACACACATTAAACATGGCTTAATGGAGACAATTTCAAACACAAGTACACAAATCAGCTTCACTATAACTCGCAGCATTCACAGACAAACACTTGTCTTTATCTGGACACATTTTCCCCACAAATACAACATGCTAATGTTTTTAGCCATGATCACACACCGAAGTTTCTGTTGCCATGGTCACACACACACACACACACACACACACACACACACACACACACACACACACCATGGTTACTGTTGCCAAGGTCACACACCATAGTTACTGTTGCCATGGTCACACACACCATAGTTACTGTTGCCATGGTCACACACCGTAGTTACTGTTGCCATGGTCACACACATACACACACACATACACACACACACACACCATGGTTTCTGTTGCCGTGGTCACACACACACATCATGGTTATTGTTGCTATGGTCACACACACACCATGGTTACTGTTGCCATGGTCACACAACGTAGTTACTGTTGTCATGGTCACACACAAACACACACACACACACACACACACACCATGGTTAC